CTGTGATTGATAGTTGGGTAAGATACTATTAAGCGAGAGATCGTTTCACAATAGCCTATTTACTTGAAGCTAACACTACGGGTACTCACGGCTTCTGCATGAACAGGATGAGCGGCAAATAACAGGGCCGCTAACACTGCCAGAGTCCGACTGCGAAAGACTACTTCGTGAGCGACGATCATAAAGAGATTGGAGGCAACGGCGTGGAGTACAACATTGCACAGGTGATAGTGGTACGGTGTCAAACCGGAGACAAGGTAGTTGAGGCGAAACGTCAGCACACAGAGAGGCCTGTAGGACTTGTGAGACTTCGGACTGCTCATCGGCGTGCCCCAGAAGTCGTCGACGAAGATCTGACGAAGCGGCGTTTCTGGCCGCAAGTCATGATTCTCCTTGATGGCGAATATGTCATCGTGAACAAAGTCGCCGCGTAGACTGTTCATGTAGCAGCCTGCAGCCAATAGCAGAACAACGGCTTCACCGATCAGTGGCGATTCTAACCAGCAGAGATAGGATACATGGCATTTCACCATTGCTAATTGCTTTCAATGTGTTGTACTAGGTAGAACAATGAGTGTCCTACAGTCAGACGATACGACACGGCCGGGTGTTAACAACAACGGACGATGTTGAGTGAACACGGGTAGTGTGACGTATGTCCGAAGGTTAGAGGTTCACGTTACTGCATTGTATATTACAGAGGGAGTGGTCTTGAGAAATCGAAATTCTACTCCTGGGAATAGAAATTTTGTCGCAGTACAGTGTGTGTGGAATGTTCACATCCACGCGGGCTGATCTGGCCTGGCGAATGAATCCAATTCCTAGTAATATACTGCCACTACAGTGTACCACTCCTATAGTACTAGTAGTACAGCTGTAGATACCAAGGGCGAGGAACTCCTTCAGTGATTGCGGAAACGTCGTTGAATCCTCGTCCGGAACAACTCCGGATGTTAGCAGGCCTCCTGCAGCAAATTGGTCCAGATTTTCCACCACGGGCGGTTCTCTTCTCCGGCTTCTTCTAGTGCTAGGACAGCGCCCGCCTCTAAGACCAAGTTAATTTCGCTTAGCTTTTCATCAATCTCAAGTAACAAGTCTAGTTCAACACAAAATATCTCCAATTATTGACAATAGGGCTTGAAAGTGATGACGTCAAAAACGGCCTGGGAGTAGTAAATTGACATCAGATTTCTATTTTGGATCCACTAAGGTGTGACTTTGCTATTGCCTCAGTATGTGGGTGCATAGCAACCCACTCATGTCGTATGCAGGTGCAACTTTTACTTCGCCACCAGTTGTCACCCCGCCCCCACTAGCCAAATCAGTCAGTTTCACTGGCAACATCACCTTGCTGTGAGTGAGACCGCTTGAAATGTGCTTGGATCCATACAAAAACTGGATCCAGGTGGATCCAGTTTTCGAATTTTTCAAATTGTTGCTATGCCATTGCTATGGAGTGACGTAGCACTTTCAAGCCCTATAGGTATTCAAAATTAGGTGCAGGTGTACAACACCAAGAGTACATGAAAACCATGACTGTACTCTTGACAACACGTGCGTACATGAAAATGACGCTATTTTGACGCCATCGATGAAACCAAGGCGACCTTGGCCTTCTCGATCTCCGATCCGATCTTTTTGATTTTGAGCTCTTTGGACATGTTTTTTTTTTTTAGTAAAAAGCGACAATATGAATGAATACGAGTAACGTAATCGAATGTCGAACTTCGAAGCACCAATTATTTGGAGGATTTGATCTGTGCAATTCCTCTCGATGAACTAATCCCAACTGCACTAAACTTTGCAGCAATAGCGATAGTAATGGATCAAGATACAGCCAAGCGGCTTCTGGCCGAGGGAGCTGTTTTACTTATCGAAGATGCCCCTCAAGGATTGGAATTTGGCATTGACTGTCATGCATGGCGAGTTGGGCCAAGGTTTCGAGGTGTGAAGATGATTCCACCAGGCTTCCACTTTGTGTTTTATAGTGCTGTAAATACTGAGGGACAGGCTGCTCCAAGAATGAGCTTCTGCCATGTATTTGAACGCCAAGAGGTAGTGGTGAAGCGTTGGAATTCGGTGGAGGAAGACCTCATGGATGAAGTTTTGGATGAGGAAAGAAGGCAACGAATCAGAGCAGATCTTAAAAATCTGGATCGCTTTCTGGGAGCGTACCCATTTGAAGATTTGAGAAAGTGGACTTCACTGACGAATCATGTTTCAAAAAAACTTATTGAACGCATTGAACCTGTCAACAAGCGAGTGTGTTCTGTTATGCAATTTGAGGCCACTCCATTTGTTCCTAAGGCTTCTGCGGCACCAGAAACACCAGCCGAGACCACAGAATCACCAGCAGAGGCTGAGGAACCTAAATGTGAAGAGGATCTTCTACCGGCAATGAAGCCACTTCCAGATACGATTCCGCGCTTTAGTACCTTCCCGGAGCACAATTTCCCAGCTGGTAGCTCGGCGGCGGAGATTTCACAGCACAGTATGGATCGTAGTTATGTACTGGAGACCATGAGCAATAGTCTGCATGCTGAGGAACGGCTGCTTGGCGAGCTGCAGCTGGCGTTTGTCTTTTCCATTCTTGGCCATGTGTACGAGTCGTTCGAACATTGGAGAAAGCTGGTAGAGGTGTTTGCTACATGCGACAGCGCCATGCGTAAGCAGCCCAAGCTCTTCTGTGAATTCATTGCGGCCGTCCACTTCCAGCTGCGCGACTTGCCGGAGGACTTTTTCTTGGACGTTTCAGTGAAGAACAACTTCTTTGCGGTCACGCTGCAGCGCTTCTTTGCTGCCATTGAGGAGGATAGCCGTGTTCTTGACAAGTCGCTTGTGTCCCGTGCGGCAGCGTTTAAGCAGTATCTGAGTGAGAAGTTTGAATGGGAATTTGAAGATGATGATGCACCTGTTGTCGTCGAATTGTAGGCAGTTTGTAGGACACTGGCAGAACACTGGTAGGGGAAAGTAGATCATTCTTTTTGCCCCGTTCATGTGGTGGTTGATTCTGCGATCCTGGAACCAAGGACTCGTTGTAAATAGCATCTGGTTGTACATATTTTTTAAGAAAACCTCCTGCGGTCATTTTGCCTTCTAGACGATACATCCAGGAGGTCGTTAATTGCAGTGATTTTCAAATGGGAAAGTGCAGGCGCTTTCAACACTTGCATGTACAGTGTATTGCATTATTTCTTTTTTTCGAGCTCGTATTCATATACGTTTGAGGGATTGAAAATCTTTTGATGTATGGTCTTTTAGATTTATTATCATGTTTATCATTGCTATTTTGCTCCTTAGATGGCACGAAGCAATTTCTCAAGAGGCGCTGGTTGGTGGTGATGGGGAGGGGGGGGGGGGGCATCATCTGACACTTCTGGGCAGCTCGACACTGATTGTGCTCTCGGATTGCTGCATGCGGCTGGGTGCTGTGCGATATTACTGATGTGTGCTTACAGGCACAGTTGCACTGTATGCTCTATACTAGTAAGTAACACGTGTGGGTGTGTATGTGTGTGTGTGTGTGTACGTGCATGTGTGTGTGTGCGTGTGTGCTTTACAAAGTACCACGGAGTGCTGCTTCATATCAATTATCAGAAAGGGTTTTATCAACTGAAATACATGTAGCACCACATCAAGAATTGGTGGTCGTATGGGTGCTGTGAACACATGGAAACTCACGGTCCTACTACTTAAAATTGCTTGCTGCACTTCTTGCATGGCAACAGGTTACATGCTATATGAATATTGTGTTGTGATCCTTTGAGGAGTATTGTTTTTCGTACTGCAGGCCTCAGTTACACGCAATTTGATTCGGAGTTTGAGAACTGGACACCAGTGGTTATTCTGACTGTGAGTCTGTGTTCTGCATCCAGGCCAATTTCATGTGTGCATGTACATGTAAGTGATTGTAGCACTTTTCATTGTCTTGACTTCCTTCTTTTTTACTCCGACCACTACTAGTGCTGCAGACCACCCCATTGACATAATTATGCAGTGCCCACACAGACGACATCATCAGTCTGGTACATAACTTCAGTATAAATACATCAAGTTGCATCTGAGCATGCACTGCACAATAGAAATTTGATACATTTCCAATTTGTACAACACAATATAGTTATATTATAACTTGTTACATGCACTTCGATGTGAAATTCATAGTCCATATCCCAACTAGAACACATTCGAAAAGGCCTACTTTGGGAATGTAGAATGACATGCGCCCTACATGTATACGGCTAAAGAGCTAGCTGTGTCAAGGATTTCAGTACTAAAATATAGAATAGCATTGCAACTGTTAGTAACATGCACCCAAGAAAAGGCACCACTGCACCAGGCTTAGTGACCATGGCAACATGGCTACTTCGAAGTAGCAATAGATAATCGCGTGAAAGATACAGCTAGGCCACTGTAGTAGCTGTATGTAGAAATAATTACACGCACGGGGTGAGTCTGCACCCTCCACGCTCCTCAGAGCGAACGCCGAGCGTTGAATACAGCATGATGGCGCATCAACGCCATGAGTGCTCACACTCCAAGTGCGTCAAGACAGCAGTAATCTAGCGTTTGAGAGCTTCATTCTCAGTGTCCCAAACAGCCGCCTGGCAGTGATCACGCTGATGTGATTGACCGGATTCGAACACACATTCCGGCGCATCATCACGACTGTATCTACTGCATTTATCGCCATGTTGCCAGGTGTGTATTTGCTGGTGTACGAATCAATCATCATGATTGCCTGCATCATTGGTTAGACTTCAGAGCCCATGTCCAGCGCTGAGGATACGGTTGGCCAGGCAGTGCGCATATACTTGCTCGCATGCTCCTGCACGCGCATCCTGAAGACGTTGGCAACGCGATCCTTGTGGTAGTGCTGGCCGGACTGTACGAAGAGTGACTTGGAAAATGTTAGGAACGTACCCACCCACGCCTGCTTGGCCTGTATCTCACAACACCATGATCAACAGAAGAACAAAAAAATATCACAGATGCCGAGATGGTCTGGAGCTGAGCTCTCATACATTGGCTAAGTAGCAACTTCAGCAGGAACAGCACGGAAATTTGCAACGTGGATATATATGCGGCTCCTGGAACTAGACATGCTCATCGTGTTTTCTGGATTATAAGTTAGTCATCAGCTAGTCGCGTGTAAGCAAGACGGCATGAAGTGTGAAGTTTCATACGAAACTCTGACTGTCATCGTTTGGTCAGATCCAGATCCAGATCAACAGGATCCACTCAATTTGCAATGATCTATTGGTCGAATCCAGATCCATCGGATTTGGATCTGAGCAGGATTGACTAGATCCAACTGATTCTTGTCAAACCAGACATTCGTACGGTTTTGGCGGGTGACAATTATTGTTACAGTAAAACCTGTCAAGGCGACCACCTGTCCTAGAAGACCACTGCAACCAGTACCAAGGGATGTTATTTCCAGTCAAATGACCCTGGATAAGGAGACCACCTGGTAACAGAGACCACGTTTTGAAGGTCCCATGAGCGGTCGTCTTAGACAGGTTTCACTGTATACGCATGAAGTACACATACATGTACATGTGGACAAACGCTGCACAATGCAGATGAGTATGGTGAGTACGAACCCTGGAGTGACTTCTTGACTGTCATTTTCTACGTCCACAAGGTCACTGTAGCGGTGCGAACCAATGGGATTGATTAATTCTGAGGGATCCAGATGCGACGAAACGATCACAGCCTTGGTATTTGACCCATGTATGAAATGTTTGCCCCCCCCCCCCCCCCCCCGTCTATTTTAAACCTACAAGCACAGCAAATAAACGAAAAGAAAATCACCTCTTTGTCGCTCTTGAACGAACATGGCTCGAATATGCATTTCTTGATGATCTCAACTGCACGTATAAACGTGTTGTATTCGATGTTCCCATCAGAATCGTATCCTTCTGCAAATATTGTATCATATGCATCCCGCTTCTGTTTTGCATTGCCTTTGGCCTTGGCCTCCACTTCATCTCCTATGAATTTCAACTTTGAAACAACACAGTCGACAACTCGGTCCATCTTTTCAGCCTCTGCAATCAAACAGAACGTGGAGGCAGGACGAGGAAGACAGAACAGTAGAAAACAGGACAGACAGAGAAAAAGAATAAAACTTCATTTAAATGCGAGTATAAACTGTGTCAACACTGAAACTGCCTTATGGAGGATTCTTTCCGCAAGCAGTTCACAACTTGTGGGTACGATATAAGAAATTAAGAATACTGCTGTCAGACAACGTTTTACTTGGACCATCAGTGAATCTGATACTACAAGTGCAAGTAGTACACACATGCTGACGGTGCGGTTTCATCCATGTTTGACTGAGTGGGGTCTATTTGATCGCTTTTTAGTGGTTTCTATTTCATGCTTTTCAGTGTGTGAGACTTCATTTACTCTTTTTCTCTTTCTAAGGTTTCTTCTTCTTTTTTTTTCCTTCTTCATTTCCTGTTGCTTTGTGCCTTCTTCTCTATGGCTGCTGTTGCTAATTTTGATTGGAATAGAAACGATTCGCCCAGTACACACACATGTCTTGATTGAATGCAGTTATACACCTGATACATGTAGTCAGACTCAGAAATATCGTGCAAGTTTGACGACGCTGAATCCCTACTTGTACAGTGTGCAGTACAGATAGCGATGTAAAGAGGCAGGGTGGGTTACAGCCTCACAGGGTGTTCGAAACTCTGACAGCAAAGTCCAGCTATTAACACATATTATCAAAGACAATGTACATGTATTTCAAGTAGTCACTATATCTTCCCTAAGGAAATGCGTACATTGTATTATAATTACACAGCATTGAAAAGCGAAGGTTGCTTTTCAGGGTTCTTTAGGCAGATTGTGATATTGAACACTACGCTATACCTTCCTGTATTCATCCTCATTGAGATCTCACCTTCGGCGGTCTCCGGCACTGGGACGGACACTTTAGAATCATCGTCCAGTCCACGACATATCATGTTGGCATCTTCCACGGCTGCGGAGAAGAGATGGTCTGGACGCTGGGCACCATTTCCGCTCAGGAAGAAAGCACTTACCAAGACATCAGGTGAAAGGCCAGTCGACGCCATTGGGCTGTTGTTCACAATCTGACTAGCAGCACTCGCTGGAGAACTGGATGGGATTTACACATCCGTACGCGCGCGTGCGCGCACACACACACACACACACACACACAGGAGGAGGGCGTTGCCCGAAAATTCGAGTGATTATCTCTTTTTTTCTTTTCTTTTTTAGTGATTGGTGTCAGAGAGCGTTTGGAGTGTGTCGTGAAGATGTATGGCTACCACTGTACACACTATTACTAGTACTTGTGCAATCACGTGTGAGAAATGGGATATTGAACTTGGTGGTGGTAGTGGCGGCGGCAGTGATATCATTGGTTAATGTTGAGGCATTCTTGTTTGACGTCAGCTTTGTCCGCCAAGGACCGCTGATACAGACTACTGCCAGTCCTTCTGGGACACCTTAATCAGTGAAAGTGGTAACGTTGTGTCATCATCACTATGTATCTCCCAGTCAAAGCCGGCACATGCCACGTGGGCCGACTGAATACGGGTACAGCGGATGTTTCCGTACAGCTTCCTCAAGGTAACCAACCGTACAGTGCACGAGTGGGACGGCTGCATCCACTCGAGGCTGTGTTCTGTATCATGCCATTGGCCGCTATTCTACGTACCACACACACATGTACAATCAAGTTGTGTACGCTGGAGCGCAACATGAAAACCATGTACAGTCCATTCAGTCACTCTTGGGGCAAAACCTGGCCAAAATCCTCAGTATTCTTGCTACGGCTTGCTTTTTGGAGATATAGACTTCAGAAACATAATTGAACGAGGATTCCATAAGGGATTGCAGAAAAAATTCTAAAAAACTCAACGTTCGACCCATGTATGGCCAAAAGCTAGAAGTCCATATTTTTCTGAATGGACTGTAGGTCCATTGCCCACCGTGAACCTCGCCCGGTTGCCTAAACTAGATAGCAATCAATCCGCAACGACAACGTCCGAGTTGGTCTTACATGTTCCTTGCCGCCATACCCATGGTCACGTCACACGCCTTTCTGCCATCACTGTTCTACTCTGTACTCTATACCAGGAGTACAGTGAACTTGGCTAATAACGACGGCGGATATAACGACAGAATTTCCATGCCCAGAGCAAAGTCCCATCCAACTGTAATACATATAAATGAGATTTAGGGTATAAGGACACTTCGCGAATAAGGACACTTTTCTGATGCCCCGCCGAGTGTCGTTATACGCAAAGTTGATTGTAGTATAAAATGGGTACCAATGCACTCATATCTGTCTCTTTAATATCCGGACCTCGAAGTTAATTGCGGCACCTCAGTCTAGCGGGCACCATGTGGGCGAGTTTTAGTGGAAATATTATGAGTCTGTTGCCAAGTAAGTTGTGGAAATAGTGACAGCATAATATGCTAGATCTCTGGCACCTTCTCATCAAAACGTACCATTCAGAGTCTGAGACTGCCTTGCTCTTATCATTAAGAGAGGCATACCGTATTTCCGCAAATAAAAGGCCGTCCTCGTATACAACGCCTTCCGCGTATACAAGGCCGAGGCAGGGGGCGATTGAAAAAATAAAAGACCGTCTCCGATTAGAAGACTGGGCCTACTAAATGAGTCTTTGTTCTTGTGTTAAAATAGAAGACCGTGCTCAAACTGTGGGAAAAAATAGAAGACCGTGCTCAAACTGTGCAGAAGAAAATGGAAGAACGGGGGTAAAACTGTGTGGCGAGAAATAGAAGACCGGTGTCAAACTGGGTGGAAAGAATAAAAGACCGTCCTCGAATACAAGACCGTCCTCGATTATAAGGCCGGGTTAGGACGAGGTTGAAAAAATAGTAGACCGGCCTACTATTTTGTGGAAATACGGTATCATGGTACTTCATTACTCCCTTCTTATCTCTGTACCGACCAACCGTGCAGCGCAGTGGTACACCAACTACCGGTACATCACGATTCACAGGATTTGGGAGCCAAGCAATGCTGCATGCACACTGAGTCAGTGCGGTGTGTGACTGACCCAGTAGTAGATCTACAACAGAGGCAGTACAAGTAGATACTCACCTACCACACAACGCCGGTGGTCGCAAGCCTTTCCCTGGGCTGTGTGATGGACAGTCCTTCACTGAAGGTCAATGGCTGTCTGTCCGCACCTGCTTGCGCCGAACGCCAGCGTTCACCACTACCGGCCGTAACAGGATGGACAGTGCCAGCAGAGCGCTACCCCTGATTACTGACGCCAAGTTTGTTGAGATGCGACTATGTTCCCTTTACTGGTGCCTCTTGCCACGGTGCAATATCCTTCCGTGATCCGGTGAACCGTAACGTGGTTTGGCGGAGCATATGCTTAGTAATCACTTGACCCGGAGATGATTATTACCGGCGACGCCGAAATGCAGGCTGAACAGATTTCTGGGCTGCAGCACTACAATTGTAGTGCTCAGTGACTCAGTTATTCAAATCGATTGACAAGCAGGGTAGGGAGTTCAAGTCCTGATTTTCCCCATTCCCACTTCAACTGACATTGATATTCTTCTTTTTCTTTATGATCGCTACACGCGCCAACTGGCAAAGATTCCACCTACTGACTGACCTAGCTCGTTACTGACGTTACTGCATTTCCTGCTACAGCTGTAGCTAGCTTGCGCCAAGATCCACGGTATCGATATCGATCTGTACATGTCAGTCCGGCCTCCATGTCATATCCTTGTATTTGTAACCGGCCATTTTCCCCGGCTTCCACCGGCCTGCGGCCCTGTGCTTGTGACTCGTCGAGTCGTGCGAGACACAGTACAGTCACAGATCACATGCACAGCTACTTGTAGATCTACCGTATTTTTCGGAGTATTGCGCACCTTTGCGCACCCCCAATCAGGCAATCTTCATTGGGGGTGCGCATGTACATGCATTTCATATTCGGAGCATAGTGCGCACCTGCGATTTAGGGCCTAAAATAGCACATCTAAAGTGCACACTATACTCCGGAAAATACGGTACTAGCTATCAGATCAGGCCCATTATCATGGTTACCTTCATGCATGCATTGCAGGATCGCACCGCTATGCTATAGTGCTATACTATAGCTAGGGCCTAGGCCTAGGGAAAATGACGATATGTAACATGTAACAGCAGCTAGCAACTAGTAATAGTAGTAGTAGCGGATGCCACCTTTTGACGTGACAAGTTGACAACCAGGGCTAGGGAGAAATACAAAAAATAATAATTATCGTTAATTTTTACTACCCCTCCCCCTTTTTTTACCCCCTGGTAGATCTCCACTACAGCTAGTACCAAGGGTATACCCAGGAGCTTATACTCTTGCTAGTAGATCTACTCGTACTTACTTGTAGTTCGCGTAGGTATTATAGGGTGACAACTACATGTCATGTACCTTCACACGTCTTTGTATGGTGACAAGAGTACTCTTTATACATAATTGCATGACTGTGCATACAAGACTACATCTGGAGGATGCAAATACTGGTAAACTCTTTGTAGCAGAATCCACTCAACTCATAACAGCAGTGATCAAGTTCTAACTTACGTTGCTGGTTAAAAATTAGAAAACAGATTTAAAAACGGACCAAAACAAATTACATGAGTTTGGTGGCGTGAGAACGAAAAGAATACTCCCTAACATGGCGGTGGTCTACTGACGGATAAAATTGCACTGCGATAAAATGCTTTACTATTGCAACGAACGTTCATAGATTTCATGTACTGGAAGTATTGATAAACTGTTAATTCTGTCTAGGAACGATGCAGGGAGGTTTGTGAGCTGCCAGCAGCGGGCAGATAAACGGGTTGAACGCAGGCTTTACCAGCCTGCGCCGCCGCCGCACCACGCGGCAAGGACGTGATCGTGTCATCTCGCGTGGCAGCGTCGCACTGACCGGATGAGATCGCGTCGGCTTGTGCAGGAAGCAGAGACGCGCCCGCCGAAAACGTTTGCGAAGGCTGCAGTGGTGTGGTCGTAGGAGGGGCACGGGCTGACGGTGCGCACGTTGCCACGGGAGCAAGAGCCATCCCCGCAGCCGTTGCCGTCGTACACTGTGACACATCCATACTCTGCTCTTGGCTTGCCGTCTTGTTCTCATCAAAGGCAGTAAATACCTGAAGGCAATGTAACACATAGCAGTAAGATCATATGTTCTCTTCCCTCCACTCAGAAACCTGACATCGTGAACATGATTTCAATCAAGCCACCAGGAGAAGCAAACAGAAGAACATAAGTGCAGACAGTAAGCAGCGCCGAGGAGTGAACATCCTGCCGTACAAAAGTACACACTCCAACACACCACCTCCACACACCATACACTAACCTCGTTGACAACGGCCAAGAGGTGGTCCACTTGATTCTTGAGGTCCCCGTACATACGATGGCAGTTGTTACACGGATTCACATCTTTGAGGACATCAGGAAAATCGTCGTGGCCATAGTGCCCCAACACTGTCCTGCAAAGACCAAACAAACAGCGCCCATTAGCCCAAAAGATAATATTGACACCCGGCCAGCAAGCAGTGAGCTTTGGAGGTCAACACAGGGAGTGCACTTCATTCCTATGCTTCACATGCTAGTAGTACGATGTTACAGTACATTGTACTTCAAGTACGGTAGGTCTACAATTTTCGGTGCTATTAAATTCCGGCCTCCCAGGGCTAAAAACACATCTCGGTTGCACTGAGATTTCAGCCTGTACTACTGCTGCCTGTATCGTACACTGGCACTCTGAACCTTGCAAAACAAAATTTCCGCCGCAACAAATTTTATGCCAAAATGTCCCGGCTGAAAATAGCCGAAATAAACATGCGCCGAATATTTGTCGACTTACACAGTATGTCCATATACAGTGCTTGGATAGAATGACCTATTCAGTCATCCGCGACAATGCGCAACTCATTCTATTCATAGTATTATATTATTTCTTGTGTCTCTTCGTCTAGTGCTGCAAAAGACCGTTAACGAGCACCCGCCCAAATAAACAAACCTGTAAAGAGAATGAAGGCTGCAGACGGCAAGCCGCAACATGATACTTGTTCTAAATGTAGGTGTATTATAATCTAGTAGTCTACCAGAATCAATTTTCTTGTTCTGATCAGCAATGGAATTATGATTATTGAATTCAGGGTGACCAGAGATTAGTTCTGTATATTCCACTGATGATCATAACAAGAAAAATCGATTCTGGTAGACTATAACACACTTACAACGGATGGCTTTGCCAAGCCATGGCCTTGCTGTAAGTCAGACCAACGCGAATAAGCTACTTCGAAGTAGTCATTTCTCATGTTTTAGCGAGGACTATTTCTTCGAGTTCACGGCGAGTTTTTTTCCAGGCAGCTCATACAGTAAAGCGGCAAACTCGCCACGCGATCGCCAGGATTGCTTATTATTTTGAAATGCACTGTAATACAGTTTGCCGTTTTACTTTAAAAAAAGAAAATAAATAACTACCGGTATAAGAAATGGGGGAGGGGTGTTGACTTACGTTGATACGGCTTGCTGAAAGAAACAGTAGCGAGTCCTGGAGCAGCAAAAGAAAGACATAGAACATGACACGTCGACGCAGTACCGTAAAATTCCGTAAATAAGCCCACCCTATTAAAATAACGCCCATGTCCGATAATAAACCCAGTTTTAGGCGGTGTACACTTCAAGTCCGTTTTAGTGCCCATGCCCGAAATAAGCCCAGGGCGTAAAGTGGACTCAAAATGACCAACGCGCGAGCGTGCGTTCGTGTACAAACTGTAGAACAGTTGTAGATCGAGTGCGTGCCATCCAACTGCACGCAGCACAGTGCAGAACTCAACACTGTCACGGTGCGCGAGGACAGCGATGCTCCGTTGGAATGTAGCAAACTGCCAAAAAATGTAGCAAAACATGTCGCGCTTACCTGTACGTAGTGGCTCGTAGTGGCGCGTGAGGAGGAAGCCGAAATAACGCCCATGCCCTAAAAATAAGCCCATGCCCAAATATACGCCCGGTTTTTGACGCTTTGCAAAGTATACGCCCGGGGCTTATTAACGGAATTTTACGGTTGTACCCTAGAGCAAGAGAGTCTCTTCTTCTGGACTGAAGAGTGCCCCGATCTCCAAATTGCTTGCATCTCGGATACACATACAGTCAGACCTCGCATAACCGCACACATCCGTTTTCCAGAAAAATATCCGGATAGGCGAGGGAACCGGATAATCGAACACACATACTGTATATGTGCATGGCATATGCTGTAAATCGGTAACCAACGATTTTCTTCCGGATAAACGAGGACCGGATAAACGAGGTCTGACTGTACACATGATATAGAGAGGGGTAAGCAGCAGGCTTTGGCCAGAGAGTGTGCACAGTGGAGAGTGGAATTATTACTTGAATATCTCGGAAACCCTCCTGAAAATACACTAAAAATGACACCTCGTTCTGTACAACAACAACTGTTCATCGATTAACACCAGCGCCAATTAGGATTGAGAACTACGGAATACCAGTGTATTGAAAAGGATGTCCAGCTGACATTGATAAAATACCCAAGGGACAAGTTTCACCCCCTCCCCCCAAACACACACTGATCAATGGTAGGGAGTTCAGTTCCGGTCACTGAAAAGCGAAAAGTGCAGTCACAGCTCGCCTGTACAAAGTGAATGGGCGCCTCGTAGCTGCAGTTCGAGATGCAGTTCGAGGCCCAAGTATCTTCTCCCGCGGCCTTTTCGGCCTTGTCGATGCTATTTTTAGGTAGCTGAGGTCATTACCTTTCCAATGGTGCCACACATGCCATGCTTCTAAAAATAATGCCTCCGTGCTTGGCGCGGATGCACTTCGAAGTACTAATTTCGACCAGATCCGTACTCGGCCCCCACGAGGAACACCCGGTTTTCGTGTTCAGCGGCCTCGAATTAGCCTAAACGAAGAGGATTCTAGAACGTATAGGCTCGCGCGTTATCGTGGTAGAAGGAAAATGATCACAGAAACCAGCCCACGGCGATTTCCTGGTGGTAGACGAAAAAATCGAGTGAACTGCGCGCACACTGCATGCATGTACACATCCTGTATCGCCATGATGCATGCACCAGATAGTGCAGTGCGGGACGGAAACCACACGGCTCACATACATACTTGCATTTACTTCTGTGACTATTTTCTCCCCCGTGTTCCGATCTTCAATCGACTATAACTCTAGATTGCCTTGGAATTTTGTGTTCAAATTTTCACAGGTTGTGTCTCACATCTTCCCGATTTAGAAAAACTAGCGTTTTATGCGAAACTCGCGAATTTGGTTTTTCGATGGAAGTCCCTATCAATGGCACATCCCTGTAAGTACAGTCAGACCTCGCATATCCGGTCCTCCTTTATCCGGATCCCTCGCCATCCGGAAGAAATCGTTGGTTACCAATTTACAGCATATGTCATGTATACATACCGTATATTCTCTATTATAAGCGCCGTGCTTATATTTTTTCAACACCCCTCTACCCCGTGCTTATATTGGAGACCGCGCTTATATTGGAGACCGTGCTTATATTTTTTTCAACCAATACATCCGTACAGAGCAAGAAGAAATACATGCTAGATATCATGCATCCCGCATTGATTTCCACCAAGACCGTGCTAATAATAGAGACCGTGCTTATAATGTTTCGAAAGGTGCTCACAGTGTGCTAGTATTAGAGACTGTGCTAGTAATGGAGACCTGTGCTTATAATAGAGAATATCCGGTACAGCATGTGTGTTCGATTATCCGGTGCCCTCGCATATCCGGATATTTTTGTGGAAAACGGATGTGTGCGGTTAACCGAGGTCTGACTGTACAAGATGTCTGGCCATGGCAGGTTCTACAGTATCACAAAGCAATACATATGCATGAATTGGGCTGCCCGTTTGGACACTCACAGATGCCAGGTACACACGGCATGGGTTGAGACACAAGTTACACATACATGTATGCACACACGCCTTGACGTTGATATCCAGCTGCTGTTAAACGGCTAAGTTGCCCCGTGAGAAAGGGAACAAATGGGGAAGCAAAACGGCATAACATCCAGGCTCATGTCGCACATTCACTCGCCCCCCCCCCCCCCCCCCCCCCCTACACACACACACACCACACACACATACACACGCACACACACCTATACATGTATGCAAGCCGTGGCAGGAAACTTACCTTAGAAAGTCCAGGTAAGGCGGCGTGGTGAAGTAGTGTTTCCCAAGTGCTGTACCACAACCGGTGCATTTCATCAAGAAGTACGCACTACATGGAGCCACACAACAGCAGCAGAGAAAATTAATTATCATAATACGGTATTGTATTTCATGTATAAATCCATGACTTGCATATATGTATCAATGCATAATTCGGACGAAGATTAGCAGAGTACAAGGATGCAAACGTCGAGACACCTCAGGGTTCTAGCCAGGTCAAAATAGCAGAGGGGGGGGGGGGGGCAGGGAAAACAGTTACTCCGTAACCCATTTTTCCATTTTCAAAAACAACTGTCTTGCAATGCGAAATGCAACGTAGATCTACGGGGCGAACACCTGACTTCACCCCCAGACAAATGTGCCTTAATGAACCCTCTAGCACTGACTATCGACTGCATTTTTGTTGAATGGCATGAAAAAACACAAAAATCGGAAAATGAGTAGGGGGCGGCGCAAACAGAGTAGGCCCCCCTGCCCCCCTTTGGCTAGAACCCTGTCACCTTTGTGCACTGGTTGTGCATAATTAATTGTGGCTGGAATGGAAGCAGAGTCTGAATACCGGCTTGAGCGATCGAAAGCAGTGCCTACACACACGGCTCTATGGGTAACGTTTATCCCCCTCCTCCTCATACGCACTTACAAGGACATCGCCCATTTTCATCAAGAGTCAAGTACAACGGATAGCAGGACAATAGTCCTGTTGTGGACATTGAAATCCGGTGGAATAATCCGGTGTAATGACCACCACGAGAGAACCATTCAGAAGGAAAGAGGCTGGCAGTGTCTGTAGTTAACTCCAGACTGAAAAGAAGCAGTCTTGCAAGCATACGTACCACCCGAGATCAAAGCCATCCACACCCAGCTTCAGATCATCACGATCTACACACACCTTCTCGTGACAATCTAGTGGCAATGGGAATACAAGCCACAAACACACACACACACACAAACACACACACACACGCGCACACACACACACACACACACACACTGTCAGGCCAGGGAACAATTCTGAGACAATAATTATTATGAATGGAAGTAGTGGTAGCGACTTGGGCCGATAATCATCAGGGGACGCACAAGGTTAGCAACATATTTTTTTCAAAACGAGAAGTTTTCATTTGGGGTGGGTGGTTTTTTGGAGTTTCGTTTTGAAATTGATTATTGAATGGCCATCACCTGACTGTACGGCTTACCATCATGCTGTGCCACCATTTTACATACAGTACAGGCAGAAAATTTCGTCGGTCAATAATTTCGTCCAACACCAAAGAAAGGGATTTCGTCTGGTTGAAAATTTAGTCCATGGACTATAACAGTGTATTGAAACGCTGGACAAATCGACATTCGTCCGGCACTTAATTTAGTCCCAAAGCTCCTTGGACGAAAAAGACGAAATTAAATTCCAGACGAATATTTCTGCTTGTACAGTACAGTAAAAGCCATATATATAACGAAGTGCTAACTCTAACGAGTTAACGAGGAGAAATCTGTTGTTAAAATAGAAATCGTTATACAGAAATCGATACATATACTGTCCTATTGAGCGTTGAGAATGAGTGAGAATCGTTACCTTTGGTACACGTAAACTAGTCAATTTTGGGAAATCGTTATATATGCGCCTCGTTAGAATAATGGCTTTTTACAGTAACCGCTTCAGGTACCGCATACACACTCTGGGGACATGCTACCGGCCTTGGTGAAGCTAGGGGAGTGAAGTGAAGATTCCATGGCAGATATTTACAATCTGCTCATTGAATTGCAGCTTCTTTTGCTGCTCATGCTGGAGGACGGCAATGGGATTCTTTGCGTATGAAGCCGCAAAAATGCCGAAAGGTGCTCTATGCGCGAGTCCAGAACCTGCATAATCTAATGCCTGATCGGGCATCATCTGCTGTGTATAAAGTACTTTTTTTGACAACCCTGCAATGTCCATTTCCAGGAATTTGATCTCCGATTGACAGTACCCTGACTAGTATTAGGTACGGATTCTTATGGCCCTCGGGTGTACAATACTGTCCCCAAAGGATACCGCGATGCCGCGGACGCACAATTTTCCGCGATATCGGATTTCACCTGCGCTTTCAAGAAATTTTGCATAAAACCCGCGTTATCCATGGGAATGTACAAGAAGAGTACATGATGTTGAGAATGTAATACAAGGCCGTACCCGCCCATGAGTTTGTACGACAAAGTAGTATCTATGAAAGTAGGGGTGAAACAATTATACCGAATACTCGAGTACTCGCTCGGTTTTTTCTGAAATAATCGTACTCGGAATAAATCAGAGTACTCGTTCATACGTGGAACATGCATTTACCACAGAAATCTGCAGTTTCAGAGCAGCAGTCTGCAGATATTGATGTGCAGACTGTGTGGTGAACATTTGTTCACGAGTAGAGAGAGCCCAAATGACCCAGCAACCAATATACCAGAGAAAAAATGGCAGCCACTCGGTTCAAGCAGGGTTTGTATCACGTGATTTTAAGGCCCTCGGTGTGCAATTGATAGGAGATGAAGAATACTCGAATACTCGAATATTCGATCGGAGAAAATCAGAGTACTCGAACTCGGGATCTCAATGCCAACTTTCACCCCTATATGAAAGTGTACGCTAAAGTTCTACCAATGACAGATAACTCGTGCATAATGACCGCATTACACCGCATGGTGGCGGAGCGTCATTTTATTCCTAAACAGAGAGGCTTTTTCCAGATCTGTGTGTTTTGACTAGGACTAGTCTGGGGCGTACATTTGTGCCCTCTCGGTTTGCCAATACGCAGCACCTCTAGGATCGGAATGGTTGACGGGACAAGGGCTAGTGTGAGTGAGGGGAGGTCCTCACCCTGACTTTCCGACACACTGTGTAGTAATGTGTTGTTCTCTCTTCCCTTCTGGTTGAGTAGCTCCTCAACCAGATCTTGAGTGCTGCCATTCACGGTCCACGAGCGTGGCTCTCGGTTCAGGCTTTCCCACCATCCTGGCGCCACCCACTGACCTCTTTCTGTAGGCCAGTGTTCTCGAGTTCCAGGCCGTCCACTCGTTTCATGAGCATATCTATGTCACGAGCCTGTTTTCGCAGCAAATTTGCCATCTTTTCTAGATTCTCGTGAACTGGCGCCAGTCCATCTGCCACGACATTACTGAGGTCGGCGCGCAGGTCCGACCTCAGGCCATTTATCAGGCGTACTATGTCCATGTTCAGTTCACCGGATAGGGGAGACGGGGCCGAAGGCAAAGGTAGGTTGCCAGTTGTCTGGCCCCCAAGCGCCAGAGTGGCCGGAATTTCGGTGGGGCTGTCGGACCGATCCTGCACCTTGGATTTTCCACCAACTTTCCTCACCGGTGTTGGTGGCACTGTTAGGATCCTCCAAAAGCTTCCCCACAACCAGCATGAGGAGGGGAGGTAACACGACTAATCAAATTCCAAACTACCCACGACATCTTGGATCATATAGTCTGGCTTCCCTTCCACTAATGATCCCGCATATTCGCCGCACAATGGCCTGTTTTCGCCCGCATAATTATGCGCATGATTTTAGGATTTTGTCCACCTTATTCTGTGGGGACATGTCGGCAGGCTACACTGAAGTTTCACTGTGCATGCTGGGCCTATTTCTAGGCCTATGGTGCACAGGAGAAATGTACATGCCATCTGGGCATCGCTCCCATTGCATAGGTAAGCGATGGTGCAAGATGTAAGAGCGTGCCTCAGAAGTGCGATGTGAGAGCAAAATGCCATGGGAGAAAACTGCTGGTGCAGCACCGTTTAGTGCCTATTGCTGCAGTAGCTGCGCACGGTTTCATGACGTGTTTTGAATTTTGAATGATGAAATAAGGATGAGAGAAGTGGTGAGCACACATGCTCTTTCCCTGGGCACTGCAAAAGTCACATTTCACAGAATCATTTTTTCGACGTTCCGGCAAATTGCCATCATCAGGCTGCAATATAAAGTGGAAGTCTGCAAAGGAGCAGTTATATTATACAATACAATAATTTGGTGCTATTTCAGTGAGGTGTTGATAATATATCTTTGAAGTACTATTCGGGAGAATGAAGTTGAAGACACCACTGCAGCTGTACTTATGGTTGATAAATATGTCGTTGCTGTGTCATCTTCTATGTGCCATGCGCTACTTGATGTACCAGCCTGCTATGCCGGATACCGCCAACCATGCATCGACCAGGCGCCAGGCGCGAACTGATGGTGGTGGTGGTGAGAAGGAGAGCTCTGTGCCAGAACTTTGCAGCCTAGAGAGCGTGTGTGGGCAGGCGTGTGTTTACCGCCATATTGCCAGGTGTGTCTTTACCACCATATTTATCAACTTGAAGTACTATTATTTATTTTTGACTAGTTTGAGATATATATATATATATATTTTTTTTTAGTCTTATTTTACTAGGGAATTCCCAACAGGCGCCATCGCCTTCTTACAGGGAACCCTAAGAACGTCTTGATGGATGATCGAAATTCAGCAGGTGAATTAGAAAGGCGGTAAGCAGGTGGCAGTGCATTCCACCAGTCAGCGCCTACGTAAGAAATTGCACTGAAACCATAGCGTGTGCTAGCAGGGGGTAAAACAAGCGCGGCAGACACCTGACCACGGGTAACGGCAGCAGTGTGAGCAGTGTGAGCACGAAGAGTAAAGCGGTCTTGTAGGAGAGAGCACTACTATGACTACATTATGTTGCCCCTGTGCTAGGAATATGCCTGAAACTAGTAAAATATCACAGGTTTTTCACTTATGTGCTCGTTTTTTGGAAAAGATTAGCGCAGCGCAAATGTCATCAGATAACATGAGAAAAGTTGCAACAGGTTTCTCGCTAGTAATACACGAACGTGACCATGTCACTGTTCAAGCTCCAGAAAACATTGTCACCTAGTGATAAGTAGAGCTTTTGTTGTATTGGCTCCAGAACTAATGGGTAGCCTTCTAGTTGCCTTTCGTTCTTTTTCACTGTGAGTTTCACTTGGATATGAGCATTGTGGTTCTTCTCTATACTCTTGCCGCATCTCTATTTAGCATTAGTTCTGCATACTAGTATTTTGGTGCGTGACGCGCACAGTTTTACTGTACAAGAATTGCATGAGTATTATGTCCGTGCTGCAAGCTTTGTACGCTGCTGACAAGAATTGCATGACTATTGTGTATTATGTCTGTGTTGCAAGTTTTGTACGTTGCTCGCGTATAGTTGTTACATTTATTGATAGCAATAGTTGCTGCTCTTTTCCCCTCCATAGCTTAGTGTAGAGCGTTACTAAACTCGATGTCGTATTATGAGTTTTCAGGCAGTTCTATTTTACCTCAGCTGGGAGAGGCTCGCACTTATTTACGCTCTCGATAAGTCATCAAAGTTACATTCGTAGTTGAAACTTGAAAGTAAGAACAGATCAACGTTGTTCGTGTGAGTTGATTGTCGTGAGCAAACTGGGCTCCGGGTTCGTCATCATCACCTACACAAGAGGTGTGGTGTGACTCTTTTAGAGTAATGACCATCCAGCACTGGTGGTGATCAGGCGCGTAGCACCGCCGTTGGGGGTGGTCCGGCCATGGGTGGTCCGGAGGATCTCCCCCCGGAATTTTTTTGAAATTAGAGTGCAAAATCCTGCATTCTGGGCACTTTTGGCATTGTTTTACGATGTTGGTCGTGGTCGGGCGAAAAAGTGGTCCGGCCGGAGCGGCTGCTACGCCCCTGGTGATGATTCTGTGAAATGAGTCGTGACTTTTGTAGTGCCCAGGGAAAGAGCATGGGTGCTCACCACTTCTCTTTGATTTATGAAGCTGCGTCACCCATTCTACATTCGAAATAAGGATGTATGAAATAAATAAATTGGCTGGGCGTCTGGCTACCGTAATGATTGGAATACTAGCACAGCGGGAGCTCCTACCTGAAAAGCACAGTAGCTGGATATCAGAGTTGTCCTTTGCAGCATACAAAGTCTGAAAGGAGACACTGTCACTGACCAGCACATGGCAAACCTTGCACTGAGTGACGAACGGCTGCAAGCAAGGATCGGGACCAGCCGGTGAAGCTCCAGCGATTTCTCCACAGACTTGATTCGCCATGACAGGGAGAAGCTGCGTACCCAACACAGCACTACTTGTATTCTAGAGCTCAATGATATTCCATTCCATAGCATTTATCATAATGCAGGCACTACAATTACAAAACAATTATTTTACATACACTGACTGATTTTTTCGGATTTTGAACTGCCGTGACTGCCCCACGTGATGGGGCAGGTTTTTGGCGCGAAATAATTGAAGCACGGCCCGGACGGACCTGCACTAGCACTGCATGTAATCATGGACGGTAATCATGGTAATGCAGGCAGCCTATCTCGTGCACACTGACAGTCTGTCTGTCACTACACTGCCTAGAAGGCCTTAAATTAAGGGTGGCCGTGGCCACATCATGCGAATTATTTTGAAATTCAAAAAGCGAAAAAAACGGTCAAAATGTTTTAAGAAAATTCAAAAAATCCCCCAAAATGCAGAAAAAATTCGATCCGTTGCCATGGTTTTTACAGTACTCGTACCCAATAGTTTCAAAAAAACAAAAAAATCCACAAACTGCTTATCATGTGTGTCTGTGTGCTTCCAAATTCGGGGATGGGTGTCAAAAGGTCAAAGGTGTGTGTGTTTGAAAGTACTGTTTTCACCAGGGAGTAGTACAATACCACTCCCTGGTTTTCACATGTCAAACTTGGTATCAAGAGTACATAACCCCCCTGGTTATGACCAGGGAGTACTAGTACATTATGGTATTGTACTACTCCCTGGTTATGACAGGTACTTGCGGTATAGTACCCCGAGCGGTATGCGCATATGCCTAGGCTATGGTCGAAACCCGTCGTACCCACCGTTAGCACTGCCATGGGAACCTAAAATATTCAAATGCATTTTCAAAGAATCAAAGCGGCATCTTGGTGGGCACGCCGCCAGGCTCTTTGACTTTTATTGGAGTCTTGCTGTTTTGTCCACACACACGCACACATATCACGCAGTCGTTACTTGAACTTTTGAGAGGTCTGATAAATGTGGAGTTTGTTGATTCGCGAAACACCAAACTGGTTATAGTAAAAAATGCCGGAGCGAAGCTCACCGAAGGTGATCAGTCAAAGATCAGTCACTGTAAAACAGCTTCGAACGCCCGTATCAAGGCCAAAAACTAGAAGGTAAGACTGAACGTACATTATTGCTAGAGAGGAAAATTTACTCAGTGAGAGACGCAATGCCATTCTCTCTCCAATCCCTCATATGATTCTTTTATGTGTCTGCTATTCGGGTGATTGCTCTTTGTAACACCAGAAGTCCTTTGCGCAAGCGGCAAACGAAAACTAAAGAAGAAGACATGGATAATTCTCAGCAAGATATTCGCAAGTACTTTCGCGTAAGAGGAAAGCGGAAAACTGCCTCGGAGTTGAAGGTATGTTGTGTACGTAGGCCATTCAAGAGACATGTGTTTAGTACCGATTCTAGTATATGTATAATACCTGCCTGGTTGTGGCGGATTTTGGCCTAGGTTATCTCTTTCACTGTACGAACTTTTATCGTACTACTAACTTACAGACTCAGGTCATTTCGAAATAATAAACAAACGGGTTTGTCAAGAAAAATGCAAATGACATAGAAAGTCATGTCTGGACATGGCAAATTATAGTATTTCACAATCACCATTATTTTTATTCGAGTTTTGGAGTCAACAATGTCTCCTGTCAACTGTCACTACAGTCCATTCATAAAAGATGATATTATCCTAGCGTTTGGCCATAAATGGATCTTTTTTGAGTCTCTTCACATTTTTTTGCAATCCCCTATGGAATGCTTCCGATTATTATATTTCTGAAGTCTCTTTCTCCAAAAAGCAAGCCATAAACAAAAATAGGATTTTGTAGGCCAGGTTTTCCCCCAAAAAGCAGTTTATAGCGGGAAAACATTAAAATCCAGCCCTTTTCACTCCACTTGCGACAGTGCATCACTCGGATGGCTTCGCCAAATCATGGCCTCGAGAATGAGTCTGTGGCCATGCCGTTTTTGCCGTATGCTCAGAGTAAATTTCATCACAGCTCGATTGGCGAAGACCCTATTCGGTCACGGAACGAAATGTGACCTATGGCTATGCTGCGCTTCAACACTTACCTTGCACGGGTGTTAGCTGCTCTTGGATCGCGGCAACTTAGTTTTCTGCACGTGAACCATGCAAAATCAATGCATGCTCATGCATAACCAGTCAGCTGGCGTGCTCGCCCACGCATTTGACAGGTCACAATTCCATCAAATTTGAGATATCGCTTCATTCTAAGTCAGTTCTAAAGTCACCAAACCACGCTGGTAATCGATGGCTATTCAATGTTAACATCTTCAGGAAGACTTCAGCCGTTTCCCGAGAGTTTGGGCATCGTTGCCGTTATTTTCCAAGGTGTTCTTCTTCCTCCTGTCTGGAGCTGCAATTGCATCCTGGAATTATTTGAAAGGTATTTCGTGCAGGCTTGGGGGGGGTTCCAACAGGCATAAACTGACATCGCTATAGGATAACTGGTAACTTTCACCCTTCAAGGAGGTAGAGCAATGAACATTTTTGTGGCGGTCGTGGCTGTATTTGTGCACTTCCAAGGTTTTCATTCTGCCTGATACTACTCTCTACTGTATTGGAATCGTTGTTTAGGCACCTGTAGGTGTCTTATTTGGTAGATCTGCTGTTTTCAGTCACTTGGGACACTTTGTCTAGCCTATTTGTCTTTCGTTTGTGCCATCTATCAGTTTTGTGGGGTGCCTAGGCATTTGTGAAGTTCTCGAGTAAGACCCTAATTCTTGACTGGAGTCACGTCTTGAATTGTATTTGCTCGGCGAGCCCTTGTTCACGCAGTTGTCCTTATCGTAATGGTCAGTATCTGCTTGCTGGGCGGACTAGCGGCTAGAATAGGGACGACCGAATGGTCCAAGTGTGTACACAATGGCACCTATGCATAATTTTCCCGCGGTTTTTTGTGCGGGGCAACTTCACGACCTCGACACTGTACTTGCACCACGCAGCGCAGCATGCAGTCTCATGCATGCACGCGTGGAAACTCTGATGATCGTAGAGCCCTACGTACCTGCTTCGCGTTTGCTGAGGCTGAAGTACAATGTACAATTTTTTTTCCTTTGTGTTGGTGAAGAATCAAACTCAAAGCAAGACATTTATTTCCTTCTTGGAAGGCAAGGGTTGTCACAGTTTGCTGTTGTGTATAAGTAGCAAGTTAGTTAGAGATCAGTAAGCAGCTGACACAATCATGCCAAGCAACGCTCATTGTATCGTCGCTGGCTGCTCAAATCGTAAAAGCAGCTGCAAGTTTGGTTTGTTTGAGTCTGATGATGCGAACTCGCAAGGACGAAAAGTGTTTGTGAAGCGTCGTCTATGTGGATCAGACCTGGCTCGTGTTGGCTGCGGAGGAACAGCAGAGGTCTGTAAAGCTGTATCTTTTCATCGTTTGCCTAAAGATTCGGATCGACGCCGGCATATCAGGGCCGAGTGGCTTGCCAAAATACCAAGAGTCAACACTCCTCTTTCTGGAAACTCGTATGTCTGTGGGGTGCACTTTCCTGGTGGTCGACCTGTGACGGAGGACGAGCCACCTTCCCGTTTCTTGGACAAAGCCGTCGTAGTGAAGAGGAAGAGCCGTGTTTCGACAGGCGAAGTCAGTCGACCCGTTGAAGCGATTGATATTGATGACGATGTTGATTTACCAGTCACAGATGAATCGGTGCCTGAGGCTGCAACACTTTTAGCTGACCATGATTATGGTGAAGTTCCCGTTCTCCAAGAGAACAAAATAAAGACTTTGGAAGCACAAGTGGCTAAGTTGCGGTCCCAGTTGGAGCAGGCCTTGTACAATTTGGATGAATCGGAAGAAGCTTTGCGGAAATGCCAACTCCATTACTCGAACATCCGACATGACAACAAGATTGTACTGTTTTACACGGGCCTGAGTTCTCTGGCGTTTGACTTGTTGCTGGATCAGTTGCGGTGTGGATGTCAGGACATGTGCATTGCTACTTAAGTGCCAGCTGATTTCCTTGGCCAGGACAGCCGTGGCAGACGAAGAGCATTGGCGTATGAAGACGAGTTGCTATTGACCCTTGTCAAACTTCGGCATGCTTTCCCTGAGTCAGATTTAGCACTGCGATTCGGAATAGATCAATCCACGGTGTCCCGAATATTTTCAACGTACATTCGTTGCATGTACTTCTCTATGAAAGAAGTGGACATTTGGCCGAGCCGGGCTCTGATTGATCGCTACATGCCCGACGTCTTCAAAGACAAGTACCCACGCACCCGGGTAATTATTGACGCAACAGAGTTTCCCATTGAGAAGCCAGCCAACCCAACTGTACAAGCAGCCACCTGGTCGAATTACAAAAACAGGAACACTTTCAAACTGTTAGTTGGTGTGACACCTACCGGTGCAATATCGTTTCTGTCTCCTCTTTATGGCGGGCGCATTTCTGATAAGAAACTGACAAAGCGAAGTGGGCTAATGAAGTTGATGGAGAAGGGTGATGCCATCATGGCCGACCGTGGTTTCGACATTGCCGATCTGCTACCGGAGGGTGTCGATCATATTTGTGTGTGCATTCCTCACTAACTACATGGAGCCCCTGGTACCTCCGCCTGTTAGTAAGCCATCGACACAGTCTGCACACTTTTCCTCTGCTGCAGAAGTTGCCCAGATATCACCAGATGCAAACATTTCTGCAGTGGCTGTTTCAGCTGGCACATTTCTTTCACCTGCCATTACTGCTTCTGCTGCTGCTTCCGCTGCTACCAAGTTGTCATCTGCTGTAGCTGCTACTTCTGCTGCTACGAACGTGCCATCTCCTGTAGCTGCTACTGCTGCTGCTATCAGCGTGCCATCTTCTTCTGTAGCCGCTGCTGCCTATGTGACCACTCCCGTATGTTTGTTTTGCAAGCGCTCAGATGGCCCACTTCTTAGAGTTTGTAGGTCTTGTAACTCACGCTACCACCATATGTGTCAGAATGATGATGAAGATGGGCGTCTATGTAATTCTTGCTTTATGACCAGGCCGCTCTGTTGAAAGCTTTTTGCGCATGCCGATATTCCTACGTGGCCTCGGTATTTTCTTCCCCTCTTTTCTTTGTGTTATGTTGTGAGTAATGGTGCCCCTACACAATGATGCTTATTTCACTCAGGACTTCGTACTTCGAAGTAGAAGTAGTGATGCTCCTATTTGTCTGTTTGTGCTGTTCACCAGGTAGGAAATGTGGCCTGTGACTGCTGCAAGTGCCGCTTACTTTGAAGTAAATACGAATACTAATGTAACGTTCATGCCTTTTTGAACTCCGTTGTAACACGGAATGGCGAGCTATTGTAAACCAGTTGTACGTGCCGTTTTTTGTAGTGGTTACCAGTAATGGCAGTATAATTTACTATAACGCACTGTTTACAGCAGAGTTCCACTGTCTTGGGTACATGTATACAACACTACCTAATCATGTACAAATGCAGGAAGCCGGTAGCTGATGGAACTATCCACCATCTAATCACGGCGTTTATATCAAGAAGGAGCTACAGAACAGGGCAGAACAGAAAAAGCTATAATAAAGAACATAGAGTGCAGCGTATAGAACAGTTCAGACACACTTACAGAAGAAAAGATTGCCACAAATCAGGGAAGAATGTAAACAGTCAAGACTACAGGAACTGGAGCAAAGTGAGCAATGGTCATCTCAGATGACGAGGAATATATCTATTACCAAGAAACTTGATCACAGAGCCAGTTTCGGGAGAACATGATCAAAATATAATGTTCGGCAAGCTGCGAGAGTTTTCTTGACATGCACTTCACAAAATGAAATGCGCTCAACAAAAAGATCATTGCAGGGAGACCACACTACAAAGTCACAAAATTGAAGGCCTGCAGCAAAGAGCTGCATTTGCACTTGTGTATAGTAGGCATGTGTTGTTTTGAGAGAAAGCACACCATCCTTGTTGGACAAACAAAATGATGCAGTAGACCCAGCTACCTCTGCTAGACTTTGGTCTCTAGCAACAAACGGGCATTTAATCTCGAGCAAAAGTGATGTATCACCATCCCTAACAATGCCATCGGGACTGGCACCAAACCAGCATTCATCAGCATGCACAAATAAGCCACATGCAACAACATCTATCAGCTTGCCAGACTTGGCTTGGTGGGCTACGTAGGCACATCGTGCCTCTTCTTCATGATCAATCCCCCATCTGGTTGCAGGAGTGGTGAACGCCGGCCGATCAATGATAGTTTTTATGAGGGATGACGGGTCAGTCTGAGGTCGTCGATGAGCTACAGTATGGGCAATGGAAGCTGTAATACGCTTCTTTCGTTCATTCCTCCAGAGTTCACTTGTTGTTTGGGATGCAGTGGCTTCTTGCAGGGCATTGGCTTCTTCACAAGTAAGTATGACATTGGACTCGTACCACAGCATCTGCTTGTCCTCAGTTAGCCACTCGCAGTCAGATGGCACAGGTGTCACATCACCTGATCTGCTGTGCTCAACCTGCCACTTGTCCTTCTGTTCCCCTGCCCTAGCCAGTCTCTCCTTTTTCTGCGCTTGGGCTCTGTGCAACCTGTCCTCCTTCTGCTTAGCAGCAAATCCTGAGCTACCAGCAACAAGAGGCAATGCTAGGTGGATGGAGTTGGAGTGAATGGTTGAGTTGGCGTATTCCTCCACACGCCGGGCAAAGTCCATCCGCTTTGCAACAGCACGAGGGTCAAGTACTTCTGCAGCAGAATGCTTACGTTTCTTTGGCGCAGATTTGTCAGTGGTACTGCCACCTCTACGCCACTCCATGTCTTGAACCAGCATGGGCTCACTCTTTTTACCTGCACCTGCAGGAGGCTGGTTCCACTTTTGCAGCATGTCCGTGCACGTCGGAGCGTCACTAAACCCAAGCAGAGTGAACTCGGACAAGCCATACATCAGTGCAGCTATATGCTTGCAACTGGCAGTAACACCCTTGCCAGCAGGACAAGTGCACTGAGCACCAACAACACTGGTGGCAGATCCTGAGTCACACTGAGCAACGAGCCGAAGTTTGTAGTCAGCTTTGGTCTTCATTTCAGGCTGACAGCGGGCACGGTAGTACACACGGCTGTTGGCCTTCATCAGTTCGATTTTCTGGACATAACCTGCTCGATACAGACGAATTGACTTGCTATCAGTGGCAGCAAGCGCTTTGAAATTCTTGGCAGGTCCATCGCTGGTCATAGTGTCCACGAAATAAGAAACCATAGTTTGCATGGAGAACGACAGGGAGAGTAGCCTTCCACTCGCAGATTTAATCGGCTGCCACCCAGTAACAGGAAAATCCAGAGGGTCGTGGGGAATAACAGCAAGCGCTGCAGCTGGCGGAGGTGGCCCTTCCTTGCCATCACCGTCGCCTTCAGAGAAATGCTGAGCAAGTCTGTAAACGACACGAGCAGATAAATAACAAACTCAGATTCACAAATAATTTCAAAAAAATAAGATTTTGTTGTGGGAAGAAAACAACTCACCTCGCAACTAGATCGGCTTTCTTTCCCGACTTCTTGACACCATACTCTCCACACTTCACCTTCAGAAGGTTCAAGGTGAGCTGGGAAAAATCCTGACTGACTGCCATCTTCCTGTCAACTAATATCGAAACTGTCTTCCACTGCAACGACTGAAAACAAAGGAGAGCCTCGCGTCGAGCAAGTTGCCCCGCACAAAGGTGCGAAGTCGCGATGGCGACCTGGCCGCCATGTTTTATGCATAGGTGCCATTATTGTTTCCATCATCGTGAAATGAGCGTTGTGGAATTGCAGTCGTGTGCCTTTGGCACTGTACTGAGGACCTGAGGAGAGTTGATTGTTACTTCTACTCAGCAATGAAGCTATCATCAGCTCTCTTTGTTCTAATTATTGTGAGGATATACCGGCATCGCAATCAAGTAAAGATTAGGCAAACCTCGATAACCTCCAACAAGAGTCAAAGATATTTTCTCCAAATGCAAAGACGATCTTTGTGAGTTTGTGACTTGCATTTGCGTGCATACATGAGCAAGTCACGGACCACGGCACGTGCGCGGTTACCATGCCATCTCGAACCGACGTCATCTTTCTAAGTTGCCGCTTCTTGACAGCCGTGCTTGCTACCGAGGAAGTTATTTATGTGAATGTTTAAAAAGCTGTCAATTTTTGGCACCCTCTGAACCCCTTGACTTCAGGTCAGTGTTCCACCAGTAATAATCGAACCTGTTTCGCGGCCTGCTTTCCAAACTTGTACTTTTCCACAGAAAATAGAGTCGGACAAGATCGAAGAAGCAGTTTTGGCAAAGCAAGAGGAAGGAATGGAGGTGAGAACAATATGCACTGTGATGCGGGGGCAATGTTCATATTGGCGTGATGATCACTGGCACAGCTAATAACTGCCGTATTTTCCAGAGTATAAGCAGCACCCAGATTTTTGGGCATGAAATACGGACAGCTACCCTGTACTTCACGGTTCATTTGGCCATTGCAGTATAAGCCGCACTGACTCTTTTTTGGAGTGGGGGGGGGGGTGAATTATGAGAGTTTAACGTTCGGCTTATACTCCGGAAAATACAGTAATCCAAAACTGTGGTAACGAAGTGAACCTTGTTACTAGCATTCTTGTGAACAAGACTTTTTGGGGAATTGTGTGTTGCTCCCTACACGAATTTTTGGCATAATAAAACATTTGAATGAGGACACGTAGTTAACATTCTAGGCTATCCTCGTCTTAGAACAATGCTCTACATGGCGTGATTATTAAAATCGTCACTATTGGACCGATGGATGTGCTGTTGTTCAATACATCGTAAGTCGGTCGTATCTCTACCAAATTCAATCATTGCAGAGTCTAGGTTGAAGAGAAAAATCTCGGCTGCCAATATATTAGCACTAATAGCTTGCAGTATGCCTGGCAATGAAGTGAACACATGCCCTCGCTCTCTCTCTCTCTTTCCCCTGTATTGTGTGCCTATGAAGGGTGGTACTAGTTTTCTATGGCCATTTGCTAATAACACAATGTGCAGCAACTCTGTAGGTGTAAGCCGTGCCCTTGACAATTAAATGTTTTCTTCAGAACAATGTTGGGAGATTCTTGCTGCTTGTGCACTGTTCTCGTCCTTTGCTAGATCTTCCACTGCGACGTCAAAGGTAGAGCGGTGCGCGCTGTGAGGCCTTTCAAGCGTGGCGAGTTCATCTGTGAATACTCCGGTGAGCTGCTGACGCACAAGCAGGGTATTGAGCGAGAGAGGATGTACAATGAGCACCCCGAGCGCTACGGCAGCTACATGTACTTTTTCCAGTTCAAGGATGTCTCGTACTGGTAGGTCTGCTGTGTGTGTGTGTGTATGTGTGTGTGAATGGTGTAATCCCTGCACAAGTTGCTGTGTGTAACATCGCTATTCGCTATCATCGCTTCCGTGATGGGCAGGTCTGAAGTGTGTGTGTGTGTGTGTTACATGTGTGTATGGCTTAGTGCCTGTGCTCTGTCATTCCAGAATCGCAGTACAATATTTTGCATGTGTACGTGTAAATCTGGCTCATTCCGACTGCCTACAGCTGTGGCAAGTGAAACCCAACTCTTGTACTTGCGACAGCCTCACAGGAAACAGTGCCAAAATGGACTTCAATGAGGTGACTCTTTGTACAGAACTTGTACAACACGTTGTATGCGTCTTTAGCAGGTCACTGGTACACACGAGGAGTATTAGCACCGGCTGCCAACTTCATATTTAGGAGTACTCTGGAACCCTTCGTGTACTTTTGCGGTGCTACGCATTTTGTGATGAGTACAAAATTCCACGATTAGACCGACAGACGTTGTACGAGTATGTAATATATGTACAGTGTATGTGGGGCTGCGGGGGCTGGGTTGCACGCTGTTCCGGTATGCACGTGATTGGGACCAAGATCGATGTTCCCGCCCAGTTACACCGTGGACAAATAAAACTGCTCTGGCTCAGGCCGGAGCAAGCAGAACATACTCTGCCTACGCTTACTCATAATCCCCGTTGTGTGATGTGTTTTGTTGTTGTCTTCAGTTTGGACTGTACCCAGGACAATGGCCGCCTCGGTCGTCTGCTGAACCACAGCAGAAGAAACCAGAACGTCCAAACTCTTTCGATCGGTGTGCAGGGTCGGGCGTGCCTTATCTTCAAAGCGCTGCGTGACATAGAGGTTGGTGAGGAGTTATGTTACGACTATGGCGACCGCAACCCACTTAACATTGACCGTTTCCCCTGGTTAGCACAATGATCTGCTGTACAGCTGCATTGTACCCGCTACTGGCTACTAAAACACCCGCACCCGCGCGTGTGTGCCAGCTGACTTTATTAGTGAGTTCATCTTTTGTGTATTAGCTGTCCGCTTGATCCTGTTTAGTGCTCGACATCCTGCGTATTGTGTTGTAGATAAACGTGCTTTGTGGCAGACATGCTTGTACAATAGCTTTCCACTGACTTGAGAGGCTCACTGTACATACGTGCCAGTGTCGCTGTACATACGTGTGTCGATCGACACACATCTGCTGGCCGCCGCTGCTCTACGCCCGCTGTCGGCAATGGCTACCACGATGGTTGCAATGGTGGCTTATCCTCCTTGTGCGGCAGCAAGCATCGGTGTGAGTCGCAGCACTGGCTTTGCCTGCTGGACCACCGCTTCATGCGTAGCACCCACATCTGCGTTGGGTTGTTTTGCGGTTTGGCGCTTACGCCCATCCATGTAGATGGTGTATATATATTGTCTGTATATTGTCTACAGCATTGGGTCTGTATATTATTGTCTGTATAATAGTTGATGTTGTCTGCCATTTTGTTTGTCTCCTGTTTGTTTTTCCGTTGATTGATTTCGGCCATATCGCCGTGTCTTATATTGTTTCTCAGCTTAGCATGCTGATGAGCATGCTGATGAGTTTGCTATCGATTGCTCTTGCAATGCACCTCTCCTGTGTATCCTGTATCGACCCTTTTATTCATTGTACTGTTTCCGGTTCTTCCATTGGTTGTGACTTGCATCGAGTATCACAAACCCTGATTATTGTTGTCTCGTTGTTATTTATTCGACGTTTCTCGTTTCCTATAAAGCACTGTCGTGTTGTCTGTGATGGCTAGTTTGCATTAGGTGTTCTTGCCCGGGTGTGCTATGGGCGCTTGTGTTATCTGCCTTTGGTAGCAGCATGGTCTGTTTATTTTGGCGTGATATCAACAGACAGCATGATTTTTGAAGTACATAGACCAGAGTGGGCAACTGCAACTCTGCATACCTGGTCTACATGTATGTAACTTAGTTACTACTTGTACTTGCGCTGCATCGGTCCAGCCTGTGACATCACTTTCACTTTCACTTAGCTTGACAAACAATTTCTCAAACGAAAGTTTGTAATTCAATGTGTGGAGTTCGATGCCTGTTCTCTTCATCATCTAGTTGAAGAAGAAGACTTGATCCGCATGTACAGTACTCCCGAAAAATATTGACATTGCAGTCAGCACTCATGTGTGTTCATACGGGGAGAGGCCGGCCTGAGGACAAGATCGAGGCCAAGTATACAACAGAGTGCTTGATGCCCACAACACTTCACTCTTATGTCCCTCCTCTTCTTGTTGCGAGAGACCAACTACATACCGGTACGGGGAGATATATCATAATTATTGTATTAGCCTGTCCCCCGTGAATTCCGCGGCAGAATATCAGAAATTCCGTGCAGAATTCTGCGGCTGAAAACAGTAAATTCTGCGCTAATTCTGCAAATCCTTCTATATCCTGCGGCCATTCTGCAAGGAAAATGAGCGTAAAAACAGATCGAGTTTCCGCAAATCCACCGAAATTTGTTGTTGCTATAAATTGAAAGCTACAAAATATACTGCAAGTTGATTATGAAAGTCACAAGCAGGTTGGTTTGGTTATGAAAATACATCAAAAGTCTCCAGAAAAAGCAGTTTTTCTCTCTATTTCTGCAATATTCTGCGGGATTCTCTGAATTCTGCAGACACTACTGGATTCTGCGGAAATTCTGCAATCCGCGGAATCGCGGAATTCACGGGGGACAGAATTTAGCAGAACTTGCACAGAATTTCTGATATTCTGCCGCGGAATTCACGGCGGTCAGAAATTTTAAGTGTGTACTGCTGCACCACTCCTGGTGCATGGTGGTGTTTACTGTGAAGTGAGAAACCTTCGCTAGAGATTAATGTGCTATTTTAGTGCCCACAGCATACACTTTCGCGAAATATAATCGTCGCTAGCTGCTCCATGTAAACAATACAGAATCCGACAAAGCTGAAGAGATGAAATCGCGAAAGCTCTCATCATGAACCAGTGCAATTCTTGAAAATGGAAAATTAGCACGCAGCGAAAGTTTCTCCCTTACAGTATCATTATGGACTGTTGACATGTCCCGACTCCCGGGCCGTGAACACTAATGATGTCAACATGATAATTATTATGTTGAAAGCTATTTTCATGTCACATGCAGGTGTGACTTTTCCATATCTCCATCGCCTACTCTCAGTCAGAGTTGCATCTGCAAGGCGAATATCTCATGATGATCTGGAAAGAAATCACTACTTCACATGTACTGAAGTATGTGTATGTGGGTCCATAGATTCCAGACAAGCCGCTAAAAAGTCCACCATGCAGTTAAGCACGCACATGACCACATAACAGTTAACACCGTTTTAAATGTGCCCTTGCTAGTGCCAAGTACACTTACAATCCGTTGAATCAGAGGAGTTTCACTGCATAATAATTACACTGAAATAGTTCGCCTGCACCACTCCAGAGCCCAGACCCACCTGGGGCAATGGCCTAGTAGTTCCATGATATTATCACATGACATGGTTCAATAAGTTACATTGCAGCATCGGCAAACACCAGGGAATCCGTATAACTAGTCAGAGTTTATATGACGGAGTCCTGGCCAACACTGAACAAAGTACCCGGTAGAGAGTTGTTCACAAGTAGGGTTGCAGACAATGCTGTTGTAGTCTTCATGGACACGTACATGTGCAGAGAGTGTGGACGGGTTTGTGAGGTGATGCGACATAAAGTCACATTCTGCCGTCGCAGGCCCCATCGACTGCATCTGCACACTATCGGCCATGAGATGCTATACTTTTCGTACCACTTATACAGGACCATAGACGAACTGCGTCCATCTTGGCGTGCACTAAAAAATACCCAACGGAAAGGATGCACCGCTATGCGAGTTCCCACCGTACCAGGAGCAGTAGAAGCTGTGCTCAACTGCACAGGCATCACAGAAGTCATGATGTTGGGCGTGAGTGGGGCCGTTTTGCCAGCAATAACATAGTATATCGTACAAGCACATGGGCCTGGCGAGGAGCATAGCAAAGCAATATGTGCCTGACCCTAGCGCTCCTGCATGCAATGAAGATTTCAAAGGCAACATCGTTCTCACGGAGACAAAAGCTACAATTTCGTAAACTAAAACGGACTGACAGCCAGCAACGCTATGTACAGGATGGATGAAGTTGGCATGGTGAATGGTAGAAGCACACTATGTACAGGCGAGGGGTATGGGCAGGGCAGGTACCTAGCAGGGGAGTCATGTTGTTAGCTTGTGTCCATCATCGTGTCCTTTTCCTCGTCTGCACAAACAAATGAAATGCACAAGAAAAAAACACAAACATCCACATGCAGCATTGTAGTTCTTATGTTTGTGAACGTTGCGACGTCGTTGAAGTACAGAACGCAAAGAAGACAGGGTGAGCTTACGCCAGCCTTTGCTAACTGCGGAAAGCGGATGAGGTGGAGTGCCGCCAAGAGTACATAACCCCCCAGAGTGTGCAACGCCTGATCCAGCTCTGCATAGGGTCTTGGTCGAGCGGAATCGGATCTTTGCGTCATAATACCGTACACATCTGAGGGGAACCCGGGGAGTCGCGGGTACTCTCGGATCAAAAACAATGGTGCCCTGCCTCGAGACCGGCCTTGCGCTGGTGTGGAGTGTACGCATGACATCAGAAGATCCGATTCCGCTCGACCAAGACCCTATTGCAGAGCTGGATCGGCGTTGCACACTCTGGGGGGTTATGTACTCTTGGTGCCGCATAACAATAGGACTATACGGCACACAAGTGGAATGATGGTGCCCAGTACAAGGCAAGACAAACCTACAGTGTAAAGTATTACATGTACTTACATGACTGTACTTACATGACTGTACTTACATGACTGTACTTACATGACTGTACTTACATGACTGTACTTACATGACTGTACTTACATGACTGTACTTACATGACTGTACTGACATGACTGTACTTACATGACTGTACTTACATGACTGTACTTACATGACTGCATACTGATCAAGTAGCACCTTAGAAATAACACACCTTTCTCCTTGCACGTGACATGAAACTATATTTGAGGATCCTGCACTCATTTCCAAGGACTCCAACATTGTGATTATTGCGCATTCGGTCAGTTCATTGGCCCAAGTACGGGTGAAAAGAATATCAGTGAGAATGACCAAAGATTTCCTGGGACATGTACACTGCAGACCAGGTTCATTACGATTGCCTACCGGGCCATTCAGGAGTGCTGCATACCTTGCTGTAAAAAGTTATCACCACATGTAATCTGTGCAAGCTCCATGCAGCAATGGCTAGCTAAGCACTCTGTGACGGAAGCCTGACTTACCGTCAAGAACACCCTGAAGCTCATATATGGAGTGCATGAGAAGGTGAAACTGTTTCCGCCGCAGAGCCAGCTGCAAGCATAGGCAAAACAACAAGCCGACGGGAACATGATATGAGCGTGAGTACATCCCCTACACCCCAGAGTCATCATCTTCAAAAACACAAGGCCAAGAACTGGATGATTGAAGTGAGAGGTAAGTCATACGACAATGCACCAGTCCACAAGCTAAAGGTATTTCTTACGAGTGACAATGTTATCATTCGTGTACACTATCTCCGGACAGCTAGCTGTTTCGATCTTGTTTAGATCTCGTTAGCGGAGCTCAGAGCTCATTCTTGTACACGCAGGTGTTGTACACCGTTGGACACTACTATACAGATCCTAGACTAGTGCAGGTGGAAATGGCTCGAGTCAAGCAGTGCACGTCCACAGCCAATAGGAACTATACAAAGTTGGAACCGTTCAAGATAAAAAAAGAAGAAGAATCACCTCTGTTTGAAATTGTGACCTCTAAATCATACCTTACCTTGGTTTCATGCTGTTCCTTCCTTGTGTTCAGTTCAGTCAGCTCCGTACTAAGTTTATCTAATTGACTGCATAAGAAGAGCACAACAAAACAAGAAGTCAAGAATGTAGGCAGGTGATGGCACAGCAGATATGCTTGTACGGCCGTATCACAGCTCCGTCCACACTGTCTCAAGGAAACCCAAATCAACCCAGAACCAACAAAGAACACCCCAGGGACAAAAATCAAATTTGGGCATGGACAATGAAGCACTGAAATTCCCGGCCTTGCAATGAGTTCCCAAAGAATGTTCCAATTCGCAGGGGAGAGTAAGGGAGGCTTGGTGAGGCTTTCGGATGACGAACCAGAGCTCTTTGGGATAGGGAACAGATAATGCGACTTACTTGACCGTTTCCTGTCGGTCAGGGTGTTGTTGGATAACCTTCGCAAGTGCGTTGTACTCTGCAGCACACAGGATTACAAAGTACAAGTACATGCAATGGCAGGTCAGGGTTAGTACTTTGAAGTAACTTGTATCACCTCTAACCTACCTTCTCTAGACCCCTAGGGAACTGGGCTGGGAATACAGCTGGTCAGAAGCCAGAGCACTTGTACAGTGATTATGGCAAGACAGCGGGTGTACCCACCGCTTGGAAGCAGTGGACATCAGCATCATAACTTGCCTTGTCTGTTCTGCCTGATCTGCGTCGCGATAACGAGCTCCTCACGGCTGTCCGCAATCTTCTGGTGTGCCTCCTCAACATTGGTCTCTGAAACGCAACATAACAGAACAAGAGTTCTCTGTTAGCTGTCGGGTCCATGGAGACAGCATGAAGGACCAGTACACATAATATCTAAACGAGTGCACTGCTGTACGTGTGTATAGAGAGACAATACTTAGAAGCAGTTCACATTGTACTGTAGTGAAACTTGTCTGAGCTGAACGTTCAATTTGGAGGGGGGGGGGGGGGGGTACATTCTTCTGGCATATACCTTTTAAGACAGTTTTTTTTACGGTAATTGGTGGACCGAAAAGCAATACGGCCACAACCGATTAGCTGGATCGACTGCTACACCACTGCAGACCGTGACTGTGAACTCACCGATTTTGTCGACAAGGCTGGAGTAGTTGTCCAGCTCCTTGCAGTTCATGCTTTGCACCATGTCCAGCTTGCTCATGGCAAACTCACACTGGGCGAGCAGCACAAATAGCTTCTGGTACAGTGACGCCCTAAGCAACACATGAGCAAACAGCACACACAGTCATCACTACCATGTACACAACTGGTTCCAGCTGTTGATCATCGTCGACGCATCCAGTGGTGGTGATAATATGACTGGGAGCGAGGAGGGTAAGCATCCGCTTTCAGCCTAAGCTGCAATGTACTGGCAAAGAGCGCTACTTCTTTCCCTCGCCACCATCACCTGTTTTGCGCCTGGCGCCAAGTCAATGCACGACTAGTGATGTCCACATAGCTAGCTGGTTCATCAGATGGCGGTAGGCACATAGGCGACGACACAGCAACACGGCAATTGTAACACAGCAACTATCCTTGTGCTAGCACTAAATAGTTATGTTAGATTTTTGTTTTCACCACTAAATAGTTATGTCAAGGCAGTATTGCGCTGCCTCAGCTATTCCCGCCATAAAAAGAGTGATATGCAGAGTTTCTAGCCATTTTGGCATTCCATACTAGCCTTCACTGATGATATCCATATGATTGAAACAGCAGCAGGACAGAATCAACATCTACTGTAACTTGGAGCGGTGCTGCTGGTTTTATGATTCGATGAAAAAGGTCGGTCGGAAAGCGTGTGGCGGGGAGTTTGAATATCTTAATGACCAGGATGAATCAAGAAAGTAGAATCCTCCAAGGAGCTACCACCACTGCAGACACGACTACAATACGAGCTCTTTCGTGCATTCCACTGTCCAGCCTGCTTGTGGACTCCAACATCGAGTGAGTGGCTACAGTTCAAGTTCAGCTGTGCATGAAGAGAGAGATTTCGCAGGCTGCAGGGTCTACATCGTAACGAGTCCGAATGTTCAACCACTATGCTGTGATGCCAACCCCTTTGTTCCCTCTTCATGAGGGCAAGCATGTGTGTTGGTGTGTGTGTGTTGGTGTGTGTGTGTGTGTGTTGGTGTGTGTGTGCGCGAGCGCGCGTGCGGTCGTGTAGTCTGTGTGCATGCGTGTGAGCAGTCGTATGGAGGTAACGGGTAAGCATGTGCATACATCAGCACGAACTGCATGATCCTTATTGCCAAGCATGTGCAACCTAATTATTACCGCAGTTCATTGGCGGGGTACAACAGTTTCTAGGAATCCTAACCTCTCCTCCTCTGGACATGACGGGCTGCAAAACCTGAGGAAAGTCCTGAGAAGACGATTTAGACGTCTGTCGTCGCCATCACCTTCTCCATCGATAAGCAAGCGTTTCTTGATTATCTCATCCTCGGCTATGGCTGCAGCTGCAGCCATGCTTTCTGCTCTGCGATTCGCCTTTTCTCAGAATAAAGGAGGTGGTAGTTTGATATCAGGAGCAATTTCGGCTGCTGAGCCAACACGTTGATGTTTCTTGGCAATAGCTGACGACAAGGGACAGCCGAATTATTAGTAATATTACAGCGATAAGCTAGACTAGAAGTATCTTGTAGCTTTCTTCTAATCTAGGAATAGTTTTCAAATTTTACGGATGGAAGAAAATTGAAAAGCTGATTGAATATTTTCGTCGAATATTTTCGTTCATGTATTTTTTGAAAGACGGACTTCGTGACGCCAAGGCGACTGTGCACCCAAGTGTGTACGATGCTTGCAGCTGCTTCTCCGGTTTTCAGTTTCTTGCATCTTCTTGCCTGCATGCATTGTTGTGCTGCAGCTTCCCACTCTGATTGCCCCTGGCCTGATCTTTCCTCTTGCCCAATGCGGTTTAGCTCTTCTCGAGCAGTTGTGCGTAACAGTTTTATTTCTCTTTCGCTGTGAAATGGAATTTTCAGTCCGCGTTTCACCTTCCCTGCCCTGATCGCGGAGAGATCATTTCCGATGCTGTCAGCTGGCATATTGATAGGGAAATATCAGCTGTGCTTGCGAAAATGGCTAGTAGGAAGACCGCACTCGTCCCGGGAAGCTTCCTAAAAGAGCAGTTGATGTGTTTGAGTCGAAACCACCCATTTTTGTCCAAGGCAATGCTGCGGGTCAAAGTGGAGCGCCTATGGGAAAGCCTTCCTGAAAACAAGCGAGCCAAGTATGTGGATCCGGAGAAAAGTAAGTAGTTAGATAGTACAGTTCACCGTTCGTTTTGATACTAAGCATGGCAGTGTTGATACCGGTACCTATTTCTCTGCATGCCCTGACCAACCTTTGATATCGAGCCCAGGCGGAAAAGGCTTGAGTCAAGAGTAGAGAGGAAGTTTCAGGACCGTGACAGTTGAATGACAATACATGTACACAGTACATCATGGTACATGCCTGTACTGCACTTTCCAATGTCATGTAGCCTCAAGACCACCTAGTCCTAACTCTGTAGGATTTACAGTGGGCACGTGGAAGATTGACGTTGACTGCGAGAAACACAGCGGGCTTTGCAATTTTGACACTATAATTGTAACTAGAAAGAGTTCTCAATCAAGCCGAGCCGAGCTCGGGGTATGTTAATGTAATACTTCATCTCCGCACAGCTAGCCGTTTCGACCCTGTAAAGTCTCATCCGAGCGGAGCTCAAAGTGACTGGCTGAACAAGTACATGTACATGTACCGGTAGTCATACTTTGAAGTATACTCAATCTCCGGACAGCCAGCTGTATGCTTCGATCTTGCTAGATTTCATCAGCAGAGCTCAGAGTTACTTGCCGAGCCAATCGCAATGAAGTCTAATGAACGACAAAAGCATTTTTATTTAAACCGGCTCAAAGCACCAAACACCATGACATCCACTAGACACAGTTGCAACCACATTCAATCAGACGTACAAACGTAACGTTAATAGTGCCATGATGAGTGTTGCGCTAAATGTTTCTACCCCCCCCCCCCCTCTCTCTCTCTTCCCGGTAGCTTTGCACGATAGAGCAAACAACAAGAAAAAACCACCAAGCGATACTGATTAGTAGAAGCTGTAGAACACTGATAATTGTGCACATACACACTGGACCAAAGCTCTCACATAAGCATTGGAGAGGACTCGTGCAATCGGTTCGTCAAGCAAGATCTAGACCAACCAAGCGAAAGCACTCGCAAGTTTTAAATTTGTGTGCGATGCATGCCTGTGTCTGTCTGTGCGTGCATGTGTGCATGTGTGTGTGTGTGGGGGGGGGGGGGGGGTGTGCGTGTGTGCATGTGCATGTGTGCATATGGTCATGTTTCTGCAGAATGCATCCGCAAGTCGTCACTGTGCTTCAGCTTCGACGTTGAATGCGAGGAGATTTCCCAGAAGAAGGAGCCAACACACGGGTAAGTCATTTTGATGTGTACCGACTGCTCAACATCTCACTGAGACTGCATATAGGTTATGTGACTGATTTCATTAGGGTGAGTCAGCGGAAACGCTTATGGGCGCTAAGTGTACAGGGGAACCACGTATGGGTGCAATGCATGCATCGCTGCACCACGACTTTGCCAAAGCACCTCTAGTCCTCTACTGATGATGTAATCGCGTAATTATAGTCCTGTCCAGCCCTTGTATATCCGGTTACTGTGACTATCCGGCATCGATACTGATTATGTGCGTCACGTGTGAATATAGCATGGCTAATTCCGGGCTAGCTGTGTCGTAGCACCTTCAAGTCATATACTAAGAATATAATCTTGAAAATCACCGTAATCTTCAGACGATGGAATACGGAGATCAGAGAAACGATGAAGACTTTGCATGTGTAATGATAATGATGACTCTGGAGAAAAAAAATGTGTCCGACACTACTAGATAAGCACCAACTAGACTGAAACTGAGGTGCGGGGTAGCGAAAAGAGAAATACCGTACAACACCGAGCTAGCAAAGCAGTTGTGAGATGGGCTGCTTATGGCGTAGCTGCAGGCAGCAGGGCGAAAAAAAACGGTTTGCACAACAAAAACAATGCACGCCAGCTTATGGCTCAGCTCCAGGCAGCGGAGTAAAGAACAGGAAGCAAGCGTATGCCAAGAACTACACAGGGCAGCTCCGGTGTACATGCGTGTTAGCCCTCTACATGCAAGGTACAGTCAGACCTCGCTTAGTCGCACACATCCGTTCTCCACAAAAAAATATCCGGATAGGCAAGGGAACCGGATAATCGAACACAGTATGTTACTGTGTGTATGTATAGAGAGGTTTTGCATTCCGAATTTCAGAATGATTTTCGACTGTGCTTTTCCGAAAAAAGCGCGTTCCGAAAAACGGTATTTTCAGTGTTTTGCATTCCGAAAATCTGATTCGACTTCGTTTCCAAGGGTTGCCATGCAAAACAAAATGGAGAGCGTCGAAGGGGTTGAGCAGGATCAAATCCATGTGCGCAGGTCAAACTGAATTTGGGTGCGGTTCGAAGACGAGGACGAACTGATGGTGGACCAAGTGATCCAACAGCTGAAGACGAGGTTGGCGAACTACTGTCTTGTACTGTTAGTAGGCTCCAGGGCAAAGGAAGATAGAGTGTGATGAAGTGTGAGAAGATTAGTCAACATGGCGAGATCAGCGAGAGCAGCAAAACCAGCAAAATTCAAAACTACATACGTGGAAATTTTTCAAATAATCGAGAGCAGCAGAAAGCAAAAATACAAACATGAAAAATACACTTTTTGTATTCAAATATGCACTCCCAAACATGAAAGAGCCGAAAATCTATTTTCGGAAAACCATGCACTTTCGCCACCACACTTCCGAAAGTTCGACTAATTTTTCGACTCCTGCCGCCACATTCCGAAAATAATTCCGAAATTCGGAATGCAAAACCTCTCTTATGACACATTATGTTGTATATCGGTAACCAACCATTTTCTTCTGGATGGTGAAGGATCCGGATAAAAGAGGACCGGATAAGCGATGTCTGACTGTATCAGATATAGACTTTATGTGTAAAAAGCATAGAAAGCGAGAGCCGGAAACAAAGCCTGGAGCTGGCGCAGGAGCTTGTGGAGCGCCACAAACTGACTACACAAATAATGCCATAATAGAATGTGCACTCGTGGTTCAAAACTTGTCCTTGTGATGCCACTCACGACAGCATGTCACTGACTGTGATCATAAGCAAACGGCTCTGGATTAAATCCATCGCTGTGTGTGCTGTTGTGTTTCCGCAGACGGCGGCACTATGGCAAGCGGACGCGCACTATGTCACAGTTCGATGTGAGTGTGTGGGTGTGGATGTGGGTGTGTGCATGCGACCATGACATTGTGTGCGCTGTGCTGTAATGTACACTAGGATGTTTAGTTGTTTACACAGAGGATGCTATGATTAGTGGTGTGCATGGGTAGTCGAGTACCCGTGCTACCCGTGAGGACCTCGGGTAGACGGGTACAGAATAGTACCCGAAAACCCGAAGTCGCCGATGACTTACTGTGCATGTGTACAAATTCATGTAATACTCCGCTTGTCTACCCAGTGTGTAAGGGAAGGGGTGCATTGTGGTGTTACCATGGAAACATTACCAGATCGGGTACCCGTGCTACTCGTGGAAAACTACCCGATACCCGAAGAAAATGCTACCCGACTCAGCCCTAGCTATGATCAGGATACGCTGTTTTTTTTCAAAAAGTAGTGTGTTTATGTGTGCATGCTGAAGGGATCATTTGTTTTCTCATGTATCAGTATGTGAACATAGCAAATTCAGGATTCGTCTTCGATGACTTCAGTATTGCATCATTCTCTTTGCTCTCCAGGATACGGAGTGGAAGGAGGCGTCCTGGACTGACCTTGCTCAGCCATCCAACGAGGCACTGGTCCGCGACTCTGGCGCGCAGCCGAGTTCCTCCTCGCACCCTGTACTCAACATGGCCGATATGGATGTTAGCAAAGACCTTGTGCAAGACACTGCAAGTGCAGGCCAGAAGCAACGTACACTGGTGCCGGTACCCTCGGGCACTTGCAACTCCAGTACAAGCAGTGAAAGATCATGTGCATTTGACGCTAAGCGTAATTCTGGGATGAGCACTGGGTGCTCAAAGACAAAGTCCACATCTAGTCGAGCGCGGAAGAAGCCAGCACTGACATCATCCACACCAACCAGAAGAAAGACCAGACGGAAATGCGAAAATACGTTGCCAGGGAGATTTAAGAGGAAATCCTCGCACCTGCCCAACATTCTCGACGAGCAGGAAATACTCGGCTTTGATTTGTTCCAGAGTTATCTCCCCGTTGGCGATGGATATCAGTCGTCCTCGTTTGTCTTGGCAGGCTGTTTGAACGAGATGGCTCAGCTGCCAGCACCTTCCCTGTTGTATGATGGCGGGCACGTGAATGACTCATCAATCGGTGCTGACTCGTCTCTCATGTCCTGCTCGCTGCTGAGCTTGTCTGACGAAGACCAAGACATGGAAAACAAGAGCGGTGTGGCGGTCAATGAGTTATCGGATGCTCATTCCAGCACTGGTCTGAGTGCCTGTGGTGCCAGTGAGGCTCAGGCAGTGCCTGCTATTGAAACTGTACATGCAGGACAGCAGAATCATGTCGCCAGTGTGTCCCCAACTGAGCTAAGCACACGTTCCAGCGGTGAAATCTCCGTCTCGCCGTCTATTGCTCCAGATGCTGCTCATACCAAGAGGATAGCGTCGGGAGTCGATGCTCTTGAGTGTTGTGATCAATTGCCTGTACCTCCGTCGCCAACGCCACTTTCCTGCAGTTACAAAAACGAGTCAAGCCCAACAGCGGGACACTGTACAACTCCTAGGCATGATGATGTCAGGGCGGTGCAGCCTGAAGTATCCCGTCACAGCAATGCGGCTCATGTCTCAGATTCGCTGGATCGCCTCTCTGTGAGTACTAGGTGCATGGTTGGGTAATGGATTGCCTCTCTGTTAGTATAATTATGGTTATGTAACGGATAGGACAGGTGGAATGTTGGCAAGTGAAATCCGGCCTCGTGAACTAGTAATGCTGGCACGCGACTCCTATGCTGCAGATGCTGAGCCATGCCCTGGAACATGGTGGTAGTTTACTAACGTGGAGTCGGATTTCACTTTCCGCAAGCTGTGCGTGATGACTGCAGACCTCAGACTGCATGCCTCGATGGTCTCTATGGCATTTCAGCAGGAGTTTGATTGCTTGATTGTCAGTCATTTCCATAAAGTCTTTGCTTTTTACACTGGGTGTATGTATTTTTGTATTTGTATTTGTAACGTTATTTATGGTGTGGTGGTTGTGTGTGCTGTTTGAAATCCTTGTCCTCACAATGCAGATTTTATTGTTGTTGTTGTTGTTGTTGTTGTTGTTGTTGTTGTTGTTGTTGTTGTTCCTACATTTATATGCAGGCACAGCCAGATCTGATGTCCCTGTTTGACTCGCCACCTGCTACGCCGAATCAACTATCCCGTCGGTATGTTGCCGTTTTGTGTAAATTCACGCTGTCAATGCGGTTAGCAAGTCAGTATGAATATGCGTTCATCTTCTCTTCAAAGTCTTCCTCACGCTAAACCGACATGCCGGAGAACAAACGCGAGGCAATTGAATTTACTTCAGGTCCCGCCTGTCTTGTGTCAACGTCGGTATGCGACAACCGGCTGTGCTGGGGTGTTGGCTTTAGCATCGTTTTGGCATGTCTCGGTGAATGCAGCTACATGTCCATGTACAGTGCTGGCAACTGAAATCCGACCTCTTAGCGGTGCGTTCACATTCTAGCGGTCTCGGTTTCGTAGTTTTACCATCTCGTGTTGGGTCTTTGCGATGTGAGTGCACCGCTCAGTACAGGGTCGGATTTCAGTTGCCAGCACTGTACATCCAACTCTTTTAGCAGCACACAAAGAGCACTACAGATGTTCGAGGCAATCCATGCGTCATTTTATTTCCTATGCAAGTTGTTGAAAACATTCCTTATTTAAAATTAAAATCTTTGTGAGACAACTACACACATTGGTTTCCTCGGCATCAAGTGTCTATTCGTGAAATGAACATGAATCTAGCTCATTGTTGTCTTTGCCTCCTCTGTACGTTATGCACTGCTTTCTTCCCGACAGAAGCCTCTCCTCCGTGGGACAAGCCATCGCCATGTCGGCTGGTTCTGGCGAGCCCGGGCAAGAACCCGCTGGAACAGTCGTCGCTAGCTCTGTATTCATGTGAGAGAAGGCATGCCCGAACTGGTGCAGATCACGTAAGCGTTTTGAGCACTCTCCCCCGGAAGTGTCCCCTTTTATATGAACACCCATGCTTGTCCATTGTACCACCTGATATGGTATGAACTCGCAGTGGTAGTTCACCAGACAACCTTTTTTTATGTGCTATTTGGCCATAGTAAACTGTGAAGTCCGTATGTGGCGTTCACAGTTTTAATTTTTAATTTTTAGCAGTATTACGTGTCCAAAACGCCTGTTAGTGTTACGTGTCATGACATCATAGTGCATGAGTAGCTAATAGCAAGCACACCTCTCCTGAGTAACACTCCGCTAATAGAGATGACAATCCGATCTGAATCTAAATTTAATCTTTAAAATTGTGTTTTAATCTCTATGTTCCAGCTAATCTCTAAAACTTTAATGTGAGCATTTAGTTTATTCCTGAAGCATGATAGACCTTTATGCTTTATTTGACCTAATCTCATACAAATGATGATCCTCCTTCTAATCTCTCCGCCGCTAGCTCTGTACTTTTACCATGTTCAAGTCGGTAGGCTGTGAATTTTGTAATCCTTACCTGGGCCAGTGCTCTGGCAGAGCTTCTACACAGCCAGCAAAGCAACAGAACATCATTCATACCCTGTGCTCCGACGCAGCTTCTGCAGAACAGACTGTGGATATGCGACACCTCAGATACATGCATGACGGAAGTGCGGATATATGATGACAAGTGAGGATATACTGAACCCGGAAGATTAGTCCTACTCGTAACATGGTCCATTCTTCGACTTGTGTGTGAGAAGCCCCGTGTGGGCAGGTGATTTCCAGACCTCAGCGGAAGTGTAAAGGACCAGGTGTCACCAAGCTTCATACGCGGCTTTAAAACTGTAGTTACAGAAGCAGTCGTTGAGCTGAGGTCGCGTCCTTACAGCATGCTCTGGTCATGGGTCTAGCAGTGTGTGACCATTGCCAGCAGACATGCGTGTTGAGCAAAGCAGCATTGCGCTGGCTGCAAGCCATTCGATAGCTATCTCAGTGCTGCTTGTGCAAGCAACACACACGCGCGTGCACACACACACACAATCTGTATATCAGGTGCATATGTGTTGTACCAGAAGTCTCTCCATCCTAACTCGGCGAGTCGGGTGATGGGAGTTGTGTCCATTTCTACAGAACCCGATCAGCAGCATCATGTACGCACAGTCACAGCAACAACAACTGATCTACACATATCACACTGGTTCCTGCTTTCAATTCAATCCTCTGCTTGGCACTGGGCCATGGCAAAAACTTGAAAAATAGCTAAACCTGGTCTCAGAGTCAGTGATCATCGGTCTCGCTCATGGCGCGGATCAGGGAGTAGTAAAATACCGGTATGTTACTATGCCTTGCTGCGGACCCTGGTGGACCGCAGTACCCGTAGTCATGGGATATGAGTGAGTCACTCAAGAATCGAGAGAGTTGAGACGCACATCTCATGTCATACCATGCCGTGTACGGAATCTCGTGTTCCGCACACGTGCACAGGACCTCGTTGTTTCATGTAACACCAGATGACCATCATCTGACATACTCAAAGTAAAGCGCAACAAGTAGAAGAGTATGAATAATTCGTTGTGACTCAGAGTTTCACGCACGAGGCAATCATCCGACAACAGCTCTGCCCCCGGGCATTGAGCACTCTTTTGAACAGCTAGCCTGGAACATTTCTGTTTTACTTTTAAAGTGAAGTTAAGTGTAAAACTGACCCGAAGTAACACGTTCATTGCCACTCGTACTCAGTCACAATATTTTATTAATTGAGACCGAACATGATGGCTTCTACTTCGAAGCGCTCAGTACATGTAGATGCTTGCGCTATGCACCAGTCCACCGCCACCGGCCAAAACAGCCACGATCCGGCGGTGATCAGTCAATCTCCGCGTCGGCACTGACTCGAGACTCCCGCAGTTCCTGGTGTAGTGATCCCCAGGTTACTAGTACCACGGCCGGGGCCGAGAACAGATCTGCAGTCAGTCTGTAGTCCACTCCTGATACAACAAACACCACCCTGATACAACAAATACCATGATTGAGTAGGAGACTTAGGTCTTTATAGCCGACGTTCTTTATAACAGAAATGCACTCACAACATATAAGTACAAACAACAGTGGCATGTGGCCCATGACTGTATGACATGGTATGGCGTGCACTTGGTTTTCATGCGGGCCCACATGCAACACATGCAATACTGAGGGCCACAAGATATGGTTCGTTATACTTTGAAGTATAAAATAATAAACGAAGAGTCTTCGCTACAAAGGGTCAATGTTAGACATGGTTGGCACTTTTCCGTTCACCCTAACTTCGACTGTCGGTCTGCCCCAGTTTGTGTGTGTGTGTGTGTGTGTGTGTGTGTGTGTGTGTGTGTGTGTGTGTGTGTGTGTGTGTGTGTGTGTGTGTGTGTGTGTGTGTGTACAAGGCATGATTAGCATTTCCGTTTCTGACACAACGATCGGCTTGTGACGCCACCCTAGTTGGAATCTCACCGCTTTGTTCTCCAGGTAAACAGAGCCTTCTTCTATCGTCGAAACGATACCAACCGACGGTACTTTGGGTGCTGGGTACGAGTACTTTGGGTTTAGTGTAAACGGTAATATGCTAACCATGTCTGTTGTATGGGTTCAAGCGGGAACATGGACCGTGGTTCGCTATGCGAGTTCGATAAGTGGAGTCGACTGTTTCTCGTTTTTAAAAGCCACTGCATGTAATACGTATTATCTCTAATATAAGCACAGTCTCCAATAATGGCACGTCTCCAATAATAGAACACCTTGGGGCGGCATTCAAATAATAAAGTGCTCAGTCTCCATTATAAGCACACTGTGTAAATTCATTATCTGTACCGGCGAAAAACCCCTGAAATGTGTGTCTGACATGAATTTGGCATGGCAACATGCCTCTGAAATTGTGACGTTTATCGAATAAGGTCTATACAATCATACATAATCGATCATGCACACACTTGCACACGCACGACACGTGCACACGTGCGTCACATTCCGCCGCAAAAACGCCAAAAGGCAAGACTTTTTTTCGCAAGTCACATACCCGACGTACATTCTGTACTGTGGATATCGATATCGCCGGATCGCGGAGGGTCGTCCATCAATATCAGCGCAGTCGGATTTGTGAGGAAGATGCTCCGCAGTTGTTCGGCTGCTGCTGGTGTCTTGATAGTTGCTCATTGCTGAATGTCCCCCATTGGCTGCGGGGCTAGGCGAGCGCCCATCTGCAGCACTAGCTGCTGAGTTCACTGCCAGGAAGGCGCATTCTTGTTGTGCAACTCTGCGATTCCTCGCCGCCGCCGCCACAGCAGCTAGTACTGCAAATGCAAAAATGTCGCTGTCGAATGACGACCATCTTCAGCTGATGCACCTTGTCAAGGAGGGCAAGCTAACGGTGGATCAAGCACAGTCTTTGCTGAGGGAATCAACTGGAAGAAAATGGTCCTCCGGCCAGCAGCAGCATTCTGCCGCCGGGCGCAGGGCAACAACCAGCGTAAATGCACACGTAAGCACAGTATGTACCACGATGTACTTGGACACGTAATGTTACCTCCACGAGTCGAGCATGCACGTCGTTGCAAAGTACCTTTCACTTTGTCCGAAATGCCTGTTCGTAACTAAGTGTGCCATCAAGAGTCCATGGACTCTTGGTGCCACGGACAGGCGAGTATCTCTTACTTGTTAGCTTTTTGCTTTCGCTCCTTCCAGCGTATTCAGATTCTCTCTCGCTGTGTGGAGGTTGAACAGCCAACTGGCAACACTGATGAAATCCGTTTGCGGACTTCATTTATACTATAGTCGAGCGGCGGTATGACTTGACAGTGTGATCGCGCCGATTGGTGGCTGGCGATGTGGTCTTCGATCGCTGTCCCTGTCGCGGCTTGTATCGTGGGCGCATCGCGAAGCTTATGATTTATGCGTGGTAGATCTACGAGTAGTGGAGTGGCACAGCTACCTATCGCAATCTTGCCTTCTTGGTAGCCAGCTACGTGTGGATCTACCAAGTAGACTTGTGTTCGTGTTTTCGTTATCGTGATTTTTGCTTCGATCGTGTTTTACCGTTTTGTCGTGTTCCGCTCACACGCCCTAAGGGCCAATGGCCCAAGTGTAACAGATGGGGATCTCCCTTCCTTCCTCACATAGCAGTCACCGTCGGTTCCCTAGATTAGATGCCAGTGGCAGTGCCGAGCCAGCCAGCAGAGAAGGGCTCCAAACCAAGTGACTGGTGCCATAGCTAGGGATATTATTATTGGTAAAGACCTTAGTAAGTGGCCCCTTGGCCATAGCCTAGGTCTTTGACAATTTTTAGGACTGACATGATTGTAAAAATAATTCTGTAATGCAGATACTGTATATACAAGTCTTCGGCAGCTATTTAATTTCGGCTATATTCGGCACCGACCCAAAACGCCTAAATTAAAACGCCGATGAAATTTTTCACAGCATCTGTCGCACTATATCATGCCCTCCACCCCACGCCGAAAATAAATCGCCCCGAAATCAAAGTGCCGAAATTTAGTATATTTACAGTAGTACATGTACATGCAGTGGCAGGTTGGACTTGCCAGTACTAACTCAGTCATTGTCTTTGTACTATTGTGGGTAGTGTCTGCTGTAACAGGGCCTAGGGGTACACTGCTACCGCACTCATCTCCCTTCCTCCTCTCTTCCTCCCTTTCCTTACACAGCACACAGGAGAAAAATAGGCCTCTGCGGCCTTTGGACAATCCTTAAATAAAAATCAATCAACCAATCAATCAAAATAATGCCTTTAGTGGCAGTGTTTGTGGGCAGCTATTTTGGCAGGTGTGGGCATGTGACTGCACTCAAACACTTTACAGTATAAACTCTACATGTGCAGTCAGTTACACATCATCATCATTATCTCATGATTGTGTTGTCATGTAATTGTGTACACACAACCAAGTAATTAGTTTGTTGCTGTGGAGTGTGGAGTGTAAATGTGTGAATTGTGTATTATAAATGCAAAACACGTAGTGCCAGGTACTACATGATTGTACACAGATGCTACGCAATTTGCCGTCAGGACTGCACAAGGAGATGAGAGGCTAACTAACTTGTGATCTTGAAATTATTTGATGTTACTGTGGAAATTGTCTCCCATATCCTGTGCGCGTGTACCATGGTGTATGTAATAGAACATGTCTTGTGTCAAGGGGATTCAACTCGTACATTTTACTTTGCCTTGGGCAGATTCACTATCTAGCCGTTGAATAGGGAAGCTTTATGGTCACATCTGTTCGGTTGTGTTATGTAATTATTTACATTGAGAGCTTTTCCTGGTCTAGTTCCTTCTCCGAGTGTACAGGCACTAGGGGAGTCTGTGTGTGATGTCTGGGGGCATGTAGTCCATTTATTATTAATTTTGTGTTAGTGAGTGCAGCGTGTACTGCAGGAAGAGGGGGTTGCTGGGGAAGTCTGTTTTTGTGTGTGGCTGTGTGTGACTGTGCATGGTGTGTGCAGGCATGTAGCCAGGTTTGTGTTGACTCTGCAGAAGAGGAGGTTGCCCCCAAGTACACTCATCATGTCTTGTATACTGCTAATCATAGTACTTCTATGGGCATACAAAAGTAAGAGTGGGTAGATGCCAGTGAAATACAAAGTTTGTACGTGTGAGAAGGTGTGCTAAGGTCACACTTAGCAGATTTTGGGGTGGATCTGGTTCGTGTGGTATGACCTACAGACAGGACACCACCTCCACAATACGACCATGAAAGGAGGAGATGGTGGGGTGCTCTGTCCGTACATGACACCACCTCCACAATAGGACCATGAAAGGAGGAGATGGTGGGGTGCTCTGTCCGTACATGGACACACTATACAGTTACTAGTGTGCCACACATAGGAGTACATGCACCCACACGACTTTGTGGGTGCAGTCAGCAGCAAGCAGCATTGTAACATACAGTTGAAGGATTTGTACCTTGCACTTACAATGGTCCTTTCCACACATTTACAATGCTAGTCTAGCATGACATCATATTATTGTATTCAATTTAATGTCTCCCCCCCCCCCCAAAGTTGAGGCCCCATGCCTTGTACAATAATATAATTGTCAATGCTGCCAATTATGTCATGCCACTACGTACTTGTACTTTGAAGTAGACTTATGGTGTATGTAAGCTAGTAATGCCGTCATTGTACCAAGCACAGTGCAGCACACCTAAGTGGCAGAGCCTTTGTGTGTTACAGTGTGTAAGAGTGGGCAGTGTACCCTGCACAGTGGCATGCATGTCAACATGGCACAAGCTGTCAGTGAAGCATGCAAAGACACCCTGTCACACAGACACACATACACACAGACACACACACAGGCTGTCCTCTCAATGTGGTGGGACAACAATGGTGTGCCACTTGATGTGTGGATACCTGTTCACATGGTGTCCACTGAGCTGGTGCACTGTCTCACTTATCTCTTTGTGTGTGTGTGTGTGTGTGTGTGTGTGTGTGTGTGTGTGTGTGTGTGTGTGTGTGTGTGTGTGTGTGTGTGTGTGTGTGTGTGTGTGTGTGTGTGTGTGTGTGTGTGTGTGTGTGTGTGTGTGTGTGTGTGTGTGTGTGTGGGCAGTGTGGCTAGCTGTAGTTTGCAGTCTTGCATGTTGCAGCTTGGCAAGTCTGTACTTTAGGTAGGAGACAGTCAGCAGCATCATGTTGGTTGGTAGTGTCTTGAAAACAGATGTTTCTTTGTGTTTTGGTCTGTACTGAATGTGGTGTCTTCAAGTCTTCAAATCACTCCACCAGTGTCTTGAGGAGAATTGAGTTCATCTTTGAGGCACAGCTCAAGCTTAGCTTCTTGTGTGAACACACACCTGCATAGATAGATCATCAAGCACGGCATGGCCTGATGCAACCTAGTTGAAAACACCTGTGGTGCAGATCTGCTTACTTCCTCTTGTTTTGAGGGAAACCAGTTACCTGCTTTTGCTTAGCACCTATGCACAGAGCTTGGGTGCTGTACAGTGTAGCCCACTGGATGGTACTGATAGTTATCCTAAACTCGGAAACCTACCCCTGATTCTATTTCAAGGAGCAGTGGCTGGTGTGCTTGGCACCTAATTTTTTTCTTTCTGTTGACTCATGTAGTGTTGTGACTGGAGGCACTATCGAGTTCATCTTGATCTTGAGTTCTGGCCCGGAACATGTGGTTTCTTGATCTGCGATGCAATCTTTGAACTGATTACTTCTTCTGCACTTCAGCGCGGTGATACTACTGTTGTTTGGATGCCTAGGAGCGTCTGTAGCCACTCACACTATCAGTACTAGTAGCAGTGTGTGATAATGGAGAATAGCACCGATTCGACCAGGTGCAGTCCCGGTCTGGGGCTGTTGAAACGGCTGCACTTTCGTAACCGCAGGCCCTCTACGTTGGCATTTGAGGTCGATTTTCCCGATGAGAAGCGGCGGCGAAGAGCCCGTCAAGCACGCAGCTCTAGTTTTGGAGTACGTTCCAGGCCTAGCTTGTCAGTGTTGTGTGGTTATTGGATGTGTTCATGTAATGTGTTTTCTGTTGTTTCCCCCCTTCACCCTGTCCTTCTTTATTGTGCAGGGAGGCCAGAAGGATGAGTCTGCCACAGCTGGCAAGACTTTCAACTTCTCCGTGTATGTGAGCATTGCTGGCAAATCACAGCGTTGCATTCTCCAGGTATGTACTGTACACATTTTATTTTTATTTTCATTTTATAATTATATTTTTATTCAGCATGCAGCAGGTTTTGGTGTTGTCCCTTCGTTGCCTGGCTATTGTGACATGCACACATCATATTCGTATTCCTATGTTGCGCTCGTGTTGCATCTCTGAATGTTTTGTGGGGTTTGTCGCTGGCAGAGCATTGCACTCTATGGGGGTGATTGTAGCTAACTGGATTGTATGTTTACCCGTACAGAGGGTGTGGTGCATTTTGGTGCATTTTTTTGTGAAACGATTGACCTAACTTCCACTCCGATGGTGGGCCACGTCCGAAAATTAGGTGAGCCTTAATGTGAGGTCTGCAGCAAAGAGACCATGTTTGCGTGTGCCTCTGGACATTTATGCATGTATTTTTTGACGCAATATCATGTGCGAGTTGATAAAGGCTTTTCCCTGACTCACCTTATCGACTGGCCAGTTGACTTATCGACTCAGTTGTTTCACCCCTCGTTTCAATTGTCTATTTCTATGCTCGGCGTGGCGTCTACAGGTCAATTTCTCCAGCCATGTCATCAGTACGGTGGAGCGAGGTGCTATCAAGCGCCGAATCAACTTCACGGATGTCATGCGAGTCGAAACTGACGACGGCATGAAGGTGACCGTGTTCGTGGAGCGTGGAAAGGAGCTGGAGTTTGACGCCGACACTCTGGAAGAGAAAAACAAGGTGCGAAGAATTCTCGCCGTACATGAATTATTTACTATGAAGTGTGAACTGATTTTTTTTGCTCATTATCTGTACTCTGTCCTGCTTGAGATCCCCATGGCATCTGCATTGTATATGACCAAGCACACTGCACTGTCACTGTGGTCATAGCGGAGACCATTGTTGTAAAGTTAGGAGCTGCCCCTGATGCCTTTGTCTTATGGGGGTAGTGACATCATGTCGGATGCGGATAAATCGATATCCCATTGGACAGGTGTCTATCTACCATTGGATGTGGAAAAGTCAAAACAACTCGAAAACGAATCACTGTGGGATTTATTCACAATAAATTAATTTTTAATGCAGCGCATGCACAGCTTGTGAATAGCAACTGAATAGAACGGTTGTCAGTTGACAAACCCCCTTTTCTTTCGTAATGCAGTTGCGTGATGTCCACAACTTTCTTGGGATTTATTGCTAGCGAATATTTTGCAGCCAGTTTTGAGCCATTTGTTATGTCTGTCTAGCTTTACCTTGCGTTACAGCAGCACGATCATGTCGTGTCACATGCCTTTGTTCTGGCAGCATTTCATACAGGCATTTCCCCTTAGCTGAATGGTGTATTTGTATGTGATGATGGTGTTCTGTGTAGATTTCTCGTCTCATCACCGGCATTGCTGAAGGCAGCGGTTACGGTGAAGAGGACAGCAGCGCAGTCAGCGGTAAGATTGATACTGGCAATTGCTATCTAGCACACTGCTACTACTACTGGCCAGTGAAGCACGGGGTCATCCTCTGGTACAGCGCTGCGATGTTGCATGCGGTCACGATGCACTCATACTGGGCTGCAATATGCCGAGCATTCTACCTGCGCCTGATTCCGTATTTCACAGCTCACTATTGTAGTAATTCGCATTTAAAACTGCCGTGAAGCACCACTTGTGCTTGTAAGACATGCTTGCCTGGCACAAAGCTCCTCTTTTGTTTGTATGCTCACTTCGCAGGTGGTTCAGGTGGTGATGAAGGGAACTCGGAAAGCTCCGAGAGTAGTGTCCTCATAGAAGGCGTCATTGAGAAGAAAGGGCATAGCGCGGCCTTCCTGACGTGGACAAAGTGAGTGAATGTGTGACTTGTGATCTTCCTCTCAGCGATCCAGAGCTATGGCAGCCACATTCGTTGTACATGGTTGTGTAATGCATATACGTGTGTGTGTGTGTGTGTGTGTGTGTGTGTGTGTGTGTGTGTGTGTGTGTGTGTGTGTGTGTGTGTGTGTGTGTGTGTGTGTGTGTGTGTGTGTGTGTGTGTGTGTGTGTGTGTGTGTGTGTGTGTGTGTGTGTGTGTGTGTGTGTGTGTGTGTGTGTGTGTGTGCGTGTGTGTGTGTGTCCCATATGGTGCAGTGGTATGTGCAGCGATTTCCAATCGATAGGTTGCGGGTTCGATTCCCGACGATTATGGTCACACGCGTCTTTCTCAGACTCTTCCTGACTTTTCTTTCATTCTCCTGGGTGGTTACCAACAGCCAGTGCATGCCGGAGTAAGTGGTGTGATGTGTGTGCGGGAAAAAATTAAAAAGACCAAAAAGTAGGGATTCACTGGCCAGAAAAAAAGCCACTTCATAGCTGTGTGGTGTAGACCAGGCTGAATAGTGGCGGTCAATTCTTCAGCCTTGCAAGCTGTTGAACGGTGCAATCCCAGCACAAGTTGCTATGGCTTCTGCTGTAGCATCGCTATCATCGCCTCCGGCGATGGGCGTCCAATGGTCCAATGGTGTGTGTGTGTGCGTGTATGTGCGTGTGTGCATGTGTGTGTGTGAAATTTGTGGAAGCACATCCAGTGCATTTGGAGATTTGTGTTCTTCTCTTCCATCTCTTGTGACGGGCGTATACATGGTACATGGTACATGGTCGGTGTGTGTGGTCTGACTGTACTCCTTGTAGGCGACACTTGCGAGTGTCTCGTGGAGAGCTGACGTACTTCAAGCCTGAAGATCTTCAGGTAGGTCATTTCCATTACCGGCTGGCTGAAGTGCATTGTCGAAATCACTGCTTTCTTTAGCTGCAGCACTTCCTATTCCTGTAGCTTCAATGGCTTCGTATTCTCTCTTTTTTTTATTTTCTGACAGAGACTGTGCAATAATCCATTTCTTTCTCAGATCAGGATCATCTGGAAAATGATGAAACACTTGAACCTACCACTACCGGTATCATCAGAACAAGAATTGTGGAGGACAATTTTTTGTTTGTTTTTGAAACAGTTTGTCTCATGCCTCATGGTATTTCTTTCCCTCGTTCTTATTTTTATATTTGTTTCTAGGAAGCACTGAATATCATCTCACTGCGTCATGGCAAGACGGATATCAAGAAGATTGAAAACAATATGTTTGTTATTGATTGTAACAAGAGACTTTACACGTAAGTTGCTCCTAGGCATGTGTGTGTGTGTGTGTGTGTGTGTTTCCGTGTGTGTGTGTGTGTGCCTGTGTGTCTGTGTGTGTGGGGTCAATTCTTCAGCATTGCAAGCTGTTGAATGGTGCAATCCCAGCACAAGTTGCTATGGCTTCTGCCGTAGCATTGCTATCATCGCCTCCGGCGATGGGCGTCAAAGGTCAAAGGTGTGTGTATGTGTCTGTATGTGTCTGTGTGTGTATTCGTGTGTCTGTGTGTGTCTGTGTGTGTGTGTTTGTGTGTGTTTATGTGTGTGCGTATGTGTGCGTGTGTGTATATATGTTTGTGTGATGGCTGCTATTTCCCTCACTTTTTTCACTCGCCTGGCACTTTTTTTGGCATTTTGGCAGTGAAATGTTGGCAACTTGGCAGTGGTCGCAGCGATAGTGTACGAATGAAGCACTGTAGCCTCGGGTAATTCAGTCTGGCATGTTCCTGTGCACACAGTTTGCTCATTGGCCACCCCATGCATTCGTTTCAAACAATAGCTCTGTTCGCACGGCACTCGCCTTCTTCATAACTATTGTTTTTCTGTGTTGGTCTTAATTCCCCTGTCTGTATTGAAGATTTCGCATACCCAACCCTTCCAACGCCAAGCCACCAGGAGCTATTAGCAAGGAGCGAGACGGCTGGTTTGATGTAGGTATAGGCGCCATTGTGGGCTAGTCTATTTGTCGAATTTATCGAAATATATTTATTACACTGTATCAGAATGCGTGCATATAGTGGTCTATTTGAATTTACTTTATACCAACCCGAAATCGGGTTTTCCTTTGCTCGAGATAGCATTTTCAAAACGCAGTTTTACTAAAATTTGACAAACAAATTTTCGTAAGGAAAACTGCTCCACACGTGATCCATCAGCTCAAACGCGGGAACTCTAGCTTCTTCTTCACCCTTTTTTCAGCGCATTATAGATCTTATTAGGGAGGGTACCCGGGTGGGACTGTTATATCTCCGCTCTCCGCTCCTCATACAATCCCCACTTCACATCACAATGCATCATTGCTTGTGAAATGGGCAATTGCATATCGGAGCTTCGAGCTTCGATATAACAGTGTATACTTCACAGCGCACGTCAACCGGCCTCCGTGGCAACAGTTATTTATGCACAAATGGCGACTACGAGCGTCAGTGATATAATTTTGACGCAGCAAACCAGCACAGCCAGGCTGGAATATAACACAAGGCCTAACACCAACTAAATGTGTGGCCACATGAAAACCAAAATCTGGAAAAATATTCATAACCTAGTATGGCGGGACGCTAACACTGGCCGTCCCGAAATTACTTGTAATGCGTACACTACGCAGGTAAACTAGCGGATTAGTCCAGAAGGTATGTTTTGCACACAGTCATACCATCATGACGTACACGAACAAGCACACTGTCAGCATTGTTTCAGGGCAGTGTAGATGCTGGCACAGCAGCAGCCAATACTCCAGTTGCGAACTCCTGCTGAATGCGGACTGACGCAGCAGGCCTGGGGTCTCTGAGATAGAAGCGCCGGAACGTAGACTCTTGTTTCCAGCCAACGGCGCGCATGACCTCATCAGCTGACAGGCCAGCGCCTGCAGCCGTCGACGATGCAGCGGCTCGGGTTGAATGTCCTTTGAACACTGACGTGTCAACGCCAGCGGTGGACAACACGGACACAAGCCAACGAGAAATTGTAGCAGCTGATACCGCACGGTGTGGCTTGCGGGCCGAGATGAAGAGCTGCTGAGTACCTGAGGGTCTCAAAGCCTTTGTGCGTTCCAGGTATGCTTCCAAGTGGACTACAGGGCAAACTGCTTCCACCTGATATCTGGCTACGAAGACTCTCTTCAAGCTGCCAGAGCGCTGTGTCTTAGTTAATGCCAACAATTGCAGTGAGACACCTTCCGGCGACAAACCAATGGAGTCGGCTGACAGATGCCGGAGCTCAGATGCCCTGAAAGCACCTGTTATAGCCAGTAGAAAGCACAACTTTAGGGTGTGCTGCTCCAGGGACAGATCCTTCACCGGAGGCCAAGATTGGAGAGTGCCTAGCGGGATTGCCGGGTCCCAGGTAGCTGAATAGCGAGGCGCAGGTGGACGCTGTTGATAAATGCCACGCATCAACCGGGAGACGAGCGGGTGTTGGCCGATCGCGTGGCCGTCCATCGGCTGCAGGGTACTGGACAGTGCAGAGCGGTACACTCCAATGGTCCGGTAGGACTTCCCTGCCGACACTTGGTCCGTAAGGTACTGCAGGACAGTTGCTATGCCGGAAGATGGCGAAACGGGATTAATCTCCCGTTGACGGCACCACTGACACCACAGTGACCAAGCTGAGTCGTAATGTTTCCTCGTTCCTCCACGCCAAGAAGAACTGAGGAGCGACGACACGTCTGCTGAAAGTTGTTGATGCTGCCATATACGCCCGACAGCGGCCAAGCGACTAGGCGCAGCTGTCTCGCTTCCACGAGAGGGTGAACGTCGCCCTGCTCGTTCATGAGTAGACGAGGGTGATGAGGCAGCATTATTGGTTGGTCGACACAGAGGCTCAGTAAGAGGGGAAACCATGGGGCTCCTCTCCACATCGGGGCAACTAACACACACTGAGCTACCTCCTCCCTCTGAATCTTCCTCAGGCACCTCGTCAGGAGACAAAACGGAGGAAACAGGTACGCATTCAGGTCTGACCATGTGAAGCTGAGAGCGTCGGTCCTCCACGAGTGCGGGTCTGGCTTCCAGCTCACAAATCGGGGTAGCTGGGCAGCCGTGCGTGAGGCAAACAGATCCACTTCCAGAGGAAAAGCAAGTTGGTTGGCTAGTCTCTGAAAGACTTCCCGGTGGAGTATCCACTGTGCTGCTCCCATTTGCCGTGACCAAAAATCGGCTTCCACATTCAATTCGCCTGGCCGGTACTCGGCTCTGATGGTGATGTCTTTCTCCAGGCACCATTGCCACAGTTGTTGGGCTTCGCTGTTCAGCTCCGGGCTGGTGGTTGATCGCATTTTGTTGATGCACCATACAGCCGCCTGGTTGTCGATTTCGATGATCACATGAGCAGACCGAAGGTCCTTCGCAAGCGATTGTAGACCAAAAAAGGCTGCACGTAGTTGGCAATGTGCACGTTCGTAAATACGTGCACATTGGTCAACTCTTCGCCATTGGCGTACCTAAATGTTTTAGTGGTTATTGTCACAACGTTGACCCACCCTAGTTGAACGAGCTCCCTGCTTATGACTACCACCTCGTCATATCCGATTAGTTCTTCGTGGTCGTTTACAGGCCCTTGCTGCTGCTCCTGCAGCTCCTCCTGCAGCTCCTCGTCCTCCTCATCGCTGCTGATGATCACTGGGATGATGGCATCATCATCATTTCCCGAATCTAGCCCGCTGTCTCTTGCTTCAGCCATCTTCTTCCGCCATATAGTACATCACAGTCCAGCAGATACACAAACACACACACACACACACACACACACACACACACACACACACAAATGTGTTATGAGTAACCGTTCTTTTGTATGAGTAATCTTTCAAGTATGTTCATTCGTAGACACTTGTCTAGAACAAGAAGTGGGCAATTCAGTGGTTGCAGAGCGATTCAACAGAACGCTCAAACACTTTACAGCAGAATCAACAAATGTCTACATCAAAGTGCTACCCAAAGTCCAAACTTGTACATGACTACAACACCAGCAAGCACCGTACCGCAGTATTGGTATGAAACCTGCCGAGGCGTACTGGGAAAAACCTTGGATTTGTGTGCTCAGCTGTAGGTGGACACATGACAGTAAAATTGAAGTGTTTTAGTGAGGGAAAAGGTAGTTGTCGATAATGGGATGACAGAAGGTGGAATTTGAGTAAGCTGATCTCACTTATTTGCTCACATGTGTTTGCATGTGTGTGTGTGTGTGTGTGTGTGTGTGTGTGTGTGTGTGTGTGTGTGTGTGTGTGTGTGTGTGTGCGTGTGTGCGTGTGTGTGTGCGTGTGTGTGTTTGCACCTGTGTACTCGTGTGCGTTTCATCACCCCACGCCATCACTGCAGGCCATCCGGAATGAGCTGGATGCTGGCAGCGGGCCCGTCGGCCAGCCAGACGAAGGTCCTGCATTCAGCAAGACGTCCAGCTTCCGCGTCGCCGGTCAATCGGCGCTGCGGCACAACACGACGGCAGCACGACAGACGCTGCGTCAGAGCTTGAAACAGCTCAGCCGCGTCCGTCCCACCGGCCAGTCGATCAGCGGACCAGCTTCTCAGTTCCACTCGCCTCTGACCAATGTCTCCGAAACCGGCCAGGCGCAGCCTAACTCCAGCGGCACCGCTCCAGAGTATATCATATCCCCGACGTCGGGCAAACAACGACCCCTGCCACCCTGGCAGCAGCAGCAACAGGCAAGAACAACGAGTCCACCGGGAACGTTTAACAAGACCATATCTGCACCTACTCTCATCAGTCCACCAAAGTCCGAAAGCCCGGAAGGACCGGGAGCGATTCCCGTAGCAGCGCGTCCCACCCGGGCCCCGCCATCGGCTCCGCATGCACCAAAGCAACCTCCGTCCGTAGCACCTTACAGTGCTTCTAAACCAACCGCTAGGCCACCACCTCCACCAACCTCAACATCGCCTCCGCCGTCCGTGGAGCAGAAGTCGACTGCACCCTCGTCCGTAGTGTTGAACACGGACACCACGCCTGGACAGCGGTCGGGCACGCTGTCGTTCGCGTCTCGGAAAGCACGGCCTCAGGCTGCCGAAGTCGTTGCTTCGGGTGGCCATGGCGCCGATTTCTCTAAGCCGCAGTCGAGTCCCGTCCATGCCACCTCTGGCTCGTCCACATCTGGTGTAAGCGTGTCCCAAGCCCGTGCGCCGTATCAACCTGCGCAGAATACGCAAACCGTCAATGCCAACACGGCTCCGTCCACGACCATAGTGAACAGCATGCCGGCAGCATCTGTAAACGGACATCCTGGCACCATGCAACAGCCGCTTCCGAATCTTAATGTACAGGTACTTTGAAGTGATTGCATCTGATTTGCATGTTTATGGCGCCCATAGGTCTGCGGGGCCTTTCTTTGAGAATACTTGGATGTGATACTTGATTGCATGTAGTGTTGGCCTATTAATATTAATATGTCTCTCCCTCTCCATTGTCGTTGGACGTATTCTGAACGTACCTGGAAAAGAGGGTCATTGTTGAAATCCACAAGCGTTCCCAATAGTATCCGGTTGGTGGTTATGACATTCACTGGTACTGTGTGTGTGTGTGGGTGGGTGTGGTGTGTGTGTGTGTGTGTGTGGGGGGGGGGGGGGGGGGTGTGCATGTGCATGTGTACACCTACATGCATCTGTGTTCTCTTACGATGTTCTTGTAGAATGCCGACATGTCAGCATTTATGGCAGCCATGCAAGAGGAGATGTTGCAGTTAGTGCGTGAAGTTCAGTCTGGCCAAGGAGGGGACGAATCATCGCGGGCTGCTATTGTCGGGCTGGTAAGACAGCAGTATAACCTGTGTTACACGTTTACACTTTGTACAGCTGACAGAGTTTTGGGCCTCAAGTCCAATGGTGAAATGGGTCATCGGAGCAACCTTTCTTGAGTTGTGGCATCTGAGGGTCTTGTAGCTAGCAATGCGCGTATTGACGGCAGCGGGGAAATAGCCCTTTTCCATTGCATTGCCAACTCAGCGAAAGAGTGAAGTACAAGACTCTGAAGATAGCGTCGCTGCTCGCTTGACCTCGAAATATTCAGAAATGTTCCGTGATTGAACCAAGTCCCCACTATGAACACGTGATGTGTCCCAACGAAAGAGGTGCACAATCCCTTGTTCTTCTCCATTCCATTCCTGTCTTGTTAATAATGAGTTCACGAGACATTCAGCTTGTGCAGTATTCAGCTGGACACAAAGCATGGTCCAGAATGTTCTCAAATGTGCTGTTTCCGCGCCAAGGATTTCCACAAGGAAAATAGTTCTGGAACTATTCATGACGTCGTGTGTGGGGTGTCTGGCTAGGTAGATAGCTGCCATACTCCCGAGTGGTCAGATGGCTGAACCAATGTTGCCTGGCAACAGTCCTTGACAGAGATTCCTCCCCTGACACCAACAAACCTAGTTTGAAGGCATGTAAGTATCTTTCTCAAAGTGATCCATATTCACTTGATTCTGAAAAGAGAATCACTTCAGTAGGGATTGCTTTTCCTTCGTTGAGTCTGATTTGGATTTGCGCTGGAGATCGTGATGACAAGTGCGTTTGACCTTCTTTGCATGTAACTCTAAAGAAAGAAAAAGAATATTCACCGAGGGAATGGAAAAGGTAAAAAGTCCGAAGATAAAATTGACTGTCACAGGACTTGAACCAGGGACCTTCGCTTGAGGCCTGCGACGCTCTAACCACGAAGAATAGAAAAAGTAGGGGGAATATGTACAAGAGAGCAACAGCAGCCGGACACAGGGTGGGGCACAAGTAGCAGTGACAGTGTACAACAATGGCAATACATTGTGGTTATCACCATTAACCATACGTGTCGAATCAAAACGACGACACGGAGGGGAACGGGAACCCTTAAGAACTAAACTCTAGTCGTCACGATCGAACTCAGGCTCGAGCAAGATGTCCATAATTCTCTTCTTGCACTTCATATCCTCTTTTGGAGATAACCGGCTCAGTGGGCCACTTTATGTGGCACACCACAGCTCGTCTTCAGTTGGCTCCTTCTTTGCTGTTGGAACTGACGACATCATGGATTTGGCCATGTACAGGAGCTCACCCTGACACCCTGGGCACTTTCAGCGGAACGGCGCTTCACTGCACGGCGCTCGGATAGCTTGGTCTCCTTTGGTGCTGTGTCATCGTCTTGGGAACGACGTTTTCATAAATCAACTCTTGAGATGCTGAACAGTCGAGAGACGGAGATGGTGCAGTCATTGTAGGAGTGTCGTTGGTGGATGCAGCTGGCTGTGGAGGTAAAGCCGAGGAAAGAACGGACAGTTAGCTGGCTGCTGGATGCGGTGAAAGATGATGATGGTATAGTAACAACTGGCAGAGGAGAGATTTCGGAAGAAGTAGCTACGGCTAAATTGTCCGGCACGGATAACGAAGTACCGCCTGCCGGGTAGTTTGAGGAAGTTCCTCGGTGTTTTACAGTGCTGGACAAAACTTCATGACCTCCCACAGCGGCGATGAAGGTGTTGGCACACAAACAGTTCCAGATCCACTACGCGGTTTCTTGTCGTTAAACTCTTTGCGCAGGCGAGTGAACGTATCGCGATAGTTCTTGGAATTCGCCTGGCATGCTTTGGAATCAATCAAGCCAAGATCTTTAGCAGCAGATGACTCTGCAACCAATTACCCAGACCCTGTGATTTGAAAATAGGTGGCGAGTGATCTATCGCTCTCCTTGCCTGTGTCAGGCGAGCTGTAGGAGAGTGATCCAAATATTCTCACTCCAACAACACAGCACATTATTGATATCAGTTTTTTCGAGAAAAAGTTCTGGATGCATCAGTGACGAGTGCAACTCTCCTTGAAATGAATCGTCGATGGCTGTCTTCAAATTGTTCGCAGTCGCATCGCCGTAATCGTCTACATTCATCAGGGCTAGGGCAAAGAAAACCGGTTCCCCTTCCTTTACAACACGAACAAGCACGAGTTCCTTTTCGCTTCTGGTTTTGCGGGCCTGCGATCCATCGCTCAACACAGAAAATGCAGTTGATGAAGAGATGATACTTGCGATCTTCTTCTGCATAGTGGCAGACAACAAACGGACGAATTCTCTTGCCTTATGCGATGAGTCACAGCCCTTGAGCTTCACCCCGTTTGCTTTCTGAATTTCCACCGCGGGCACAGTTCCTGCGCACGGATCGATGAGTGCACTTGACACCATAGACTCATAGTAGAGTTGCGCTGCACTCCGAAAAGCGTACATGCGCATGCATGCAAGCCAAAAATAATTTCAGGCGCGCGACAAAAAGTGCACCTTCCAAGAAGATCAGGCGCGCGAGAGCGATCGCTCGCCTCAAATCACAGGGTCTGATTAATTTACCACACATTCATAGTAAACGGAGTTACTATGAGGGACGCGCACCCCATGTCGCATCAGGGAGGCTTCTGGGGCTCAGGCAGCCCATAAGCATACCGTGTGTGGGTATACGTAGGCGTAGCAGCAGGGCAAGATGTGTGCCGGAAGCTCATCGTCATCCGACAGACCTTGTGGTTGTGTGGCCTTACACAGCCGGCACTTCTTACTTGTAGCTTGCAGAACGCCAGATCTTCTTCTTTTCTCTTCTTTCCGTTCTACCAAGCACGGCTTCACGTTAGAGCAGTGAATAGTAGTTGGGGACTCAGCTGAGTCAAGCTGGACTCAGCGTGTCACGTTTTGCATCATACAAGAAGCGTGCTATCCCCATACAGTTGCGTGTTTTTTTTTGTATGAGAGTACATGAGGGGTGTGATAATTGCTGTTTAGTCTAACGATCGACTAATTTAAATTGTTAGCGAACGGTGTCAGGTTTGGATGCAAAAACGACTCCATTTTTTGTCTGCATACTTGTACGGTTGTGGACATTGCAATCCAGTGGAATGACCAGAGCTAGCGCACTATATATGTACAGTACGGTCGGTCGCCGAAGAACTGGGGGTCGGCCTCGTAGCCTAGACCGTTCTTACTCTTCGTGTATTGCAGTCTATGCACAGTTGGGCCACCGTGTATAAATTGGTATGCTGTGTGTGGTGAAAACTCTAGCCTGGTCGTTCTTCATGTGTATGCTGTGTGTGGTGAAAACTCTAGCCTGGTCGTTCTTCATGTGTATGCTGTGTGTGGTGAAAACTCTAGCCTGGTCGTTCTTCATGTGTATGCTGTGTGTGGTGAAAACTCTAGCCTGGTCGTTCTTCATGTGTATGCTGTGTGTGGTGAAAACTCTAGCCTGGTCGTTCTTCATGTGTATGCTGTGTGTGGTGAAAACTCTAGCCTGGTCGTTCTTCGGCGCTACCCGACAGTACTGTATCTATTAGCTCATACAACGAACCTCTGAATGGTGAATGTGTACCAGATGGACTCAAGCCCAGTTTTTAAAGTGCCGAGATGTTCCATTTTTTGGCCTTTTTGACGGTACAGCCCCGGACGCATGAAAAAAAAGTGAGCACGTTTCCGAAACCCTGACTAGAATTTGTAGTGTGTTGCACCGCATGCATGCGCAGAGCGAGCACGGCTGCAAGTCCACAACTGTATCAATGAATTATGCACGTGGAAAGGGGTCATTCAGAAATGTAGCCGTTTTGAAATTCAATGCAAGCACAATGCATACCACTGGCAACTCGGTGTCCAAGGTGGAAACTGAACCAAACTTTACGAAAATGGTTCTTTTCTGTACTTTCTGGACGCAAACTCCCTAGCGAGTAATTGATTGTAAATAACGATTGATTGACAAGTAATCGCATGGTTTCAGAAACGGGTTATCATTGCTCATCGTAAACCAATGTGACCTGCGATGGAGCTGTGACAACCTGCGATGCAACATTTTGCAGAAAAAAACTCTCGATCTCATCGCGCATCGTGTCGCAGAAGTGATATTATGCGTCGCGCTTTATAGCACTGACTGAGTTCTCACACTCCAACCGGTTCCTGTTTGCTAACGGTACTCGTGGATTGCGGTCAGTTACCCGGAATGGACATTTCACGTTTGTCCCCTACTTCGTTCCTTTGGTTTTCATCTCTTTCTTCTTGTCCTGCCTTGTCTTTCACAGGCATCTAAGCTGGATGCGTTGTCAGGTTCTGTCAGCTCCAACAACAGGTGTGTGGGTACTTAGATGTAGATTCATATCATGCTACAGCTTCCAATATTGATGATCCCCCGAAAGATTCTTATTTGTAGGCTTCATCTTGCCACAGCTGTAATTGATAATTTAGTAACTTCGTAGCAATGTATACTTGGTCAGGCTGTCTCACTTCATGTACTCACACAAGTACACCGTATTCACCAGGTAACCACCGGCCTTGTGTTGATGTGTGCAGTGCATGATTGCCGTAGCTGGCTACCGTGGGTCACTCCATGTCGACAGAGCACGGTGTGTTTAGGCCATTCACGACATGTTTGGTGGGATGCTTCAACGAGGATGTCAGGCTAGATTTTGCACACGCATACGTGTATTGCTTGGGTACTTTGTCAGTAATCGTGACTCGTATTCTGCACGTGTCTCGCTTTCCTCCTGTGCAACTACAGTGCTCCTACGGCTGTCGAACAGGAGAGAAAGCGAAATGAAGAGGCCGAACGCCAGCGCTGGGAGCAGCAGCAGAAGAAACTGGAGGAGGACATGCGCAAGCAGCGGGATGCGGTAGAGCGGCAGCAGAAGGAGCTGGAAGCCAAGGAGAAGCGCATGGCCAAGATGCAGGATCGCCTCAAAGAGCAGCAAGTGCGCCTCCAGCAGGAGCAGGACAGTGCTAGGCAGAAGGTCGCCGCTGCTCAAGGTAACTAGCGCTGGTCTGCATGACACGTACGTGTGGTGCCTGCAGCTTGTAGTGGCACTGGTGAAGCCTCATTGGTCAGCAGTGCAGTTACCTGTCTGCAGTTGTGTGTTGCGCTTGATGCTGCTACTGCTGTGGCTTGTTAAGCAATTTATTGTGATCTTATGGCACCATAGAATCAATCCAAGCGGGATAAATCAACTAGGGTAGGCAAACTTTCCAGTACTTTCAGTATTGCAGTTTCCTATTTTACAGATTTCAATACGCAAATCGGATTTCATACTGTTCAGGATCCGTACCCTTGAGGAAGTAGAAATTGGGGAATCTCCAATGTAACACTTGCTCCTCCATACCAAGAGTACATAACCAAGAGTGTGCAACTCCTATCTTGAGCTGCGATGGGTTCACCCATGGCGGAATTTTTTTATTGCGTCATTCTTTGGCAGAAGCATGACGAAGTGCGTATGCTTTCCCGCGCTTGTTTTGTAGATACGGTGAGAGTTCGTCAGGTTCAAGACACATCGATCTACCGTCCGTTGTTCTGCTTCGACTACTGTAGCAGTAATGTACAAATGATTTGAACTTTGATCTCTGGCTATGCAAGATGGCATCAGTGAGCCAAACCGCCGCCAAAGACTGATGTCATAAAAAATTCCGCCCTTGGCCTGGAGGATCGTCGAGTTGCACACTCTTGGTTATGTACTCTTGTAAAATAAATAATATTCATGGGATCCGCGTCGGCATCGCTTGAATGTTCAGAAACACACAAACTAGCCTTCACATCCGCAAGCCACCACTATGCCTGTTAACCTCTTATAAAGCACTGGTTTTGTTTTATGTACTGAGTATGGTCTGTGCATTTGGCGCTGGTCTTGTTGTTTCTATGCAGCTGCCGCAGCAGCAGCCGCCGCCGCAGCCACAGAGGCAGCTGCAGCTGCGGCAGCCGAGACGGCAGCCGCCAGAGCGAGGACGGGCTCGACGAACAAGCGCCGCAGTGTACGCATACGCGGCAGCAACAAGCTGGATCTGCGGCGACAAGAGAGTAACGATTCCACCCTGTCCAGCGAGACACCGCCGGCGGTTGCAAGCAACAGAGAGCGTTCGCCGGACCAGCACCTGTCCGCTCAGGCCAGCCGAACATCAACACCAAAACCCGTGTCGCCGCTGGCAGTGAGGCGACCTGCCCCATCGCCCCAACCAGCCGTGTCAAGTGAAGCCGGCGAAAGCAAATCGAAGGCAGACGATGCAAGTCTAGAGACACGTGAGCAGCCTAATGTCGCAGTGGAACCAGCCCAAGAGCCAGAGGTGTCTATCCCTGCCACTGCCGGCACTACTTCTGCACCGGAGACTTCCGCTACAGAATCCTATCGTGAAGCTCCCGCCACTTCTCCGACTCCTGCTCCTGCAGCTGCTGCTCCGGCTAATGTAACATCCACTGAGCAGGCCGCTGTTGGTGAAACACTGCTAGGTGCGGAGAAAAGTAGTTTAGAAACCCGGTCGACTCCCGGATCATCACCAGCCCCAGCCAGCCCAATCCACTCTCCCGATCTGGTGGTTGAAGTCACTGCGGCTGACCCCACCAGTGCTGGACCAGTTAGAACCAGTGAGACCATTGCTGAGGAGCCCACTGAAACTCCTGCTGCTGCTGCTGCTGCTGCTGCCCCAGCAGAAGAAACGCCAGACCCCGTGCTAGAGGTTGAACCAGCAGGTGACCAAGCCAGTGAAACACCCACTGAAGTCAAACCAAGTTCGGAGGAACAAGTGGAAGAGGAATTCTTCCAAGAGGATTCCCCAGTGATATCCAGTGAGGATCAGACCAAGACAACACAGTCAGTTAGTGTGACACCAGAGCCGAGTGCTGATGCTGCAGCTGTGGCGACTGCTCAAGCCGAGACACCAGCAGCGCGTACATCGCCGGTGGACGAGGACAGCTTGGCCAGCGGAGAGGACGAGAGTGGCGATGAAGAAGACGAGGAGACTAGTGCAGCAGCCACCTCCGCTCAGCAGCTGACGGACTTGGCAAAGGAGCTAGAGGACGTGTTGGCAGCAGTTGACGTGGAAATGCGTCCAATCCGACCGCTGTCTTCAACACCAGAAGAGCTAGCTTTGGAGGAGGCAGCAGAGGCAGAAGAAATCAAGAGGTCTGAAGAAACTGAGAAAGGTAGTGACAGCACAACAGGAGAGATACAACCAGCAGCGGATGCAGCAGCAGAAGGGCAAGTTGAAGCGAATGCTGGTGAAGAAAGTGTACCGCCAGAATCGTTTGACCAACAGCCAGCCGAGACTGGTGAAAGCCCACAACCATCAGATAGCCTTGGCGATATGCAGGAAGAGTGTAAGTGTACTGGTAATGTGTGTGTGTGTGTTTGTGTGTGCTTGTGTTTCCTGGCTGTTAAATATATATGTAGGACTCAGTGAGCAGTCACGTCTCGATGACCGATCACGATCCCCGTGACCAATCAAACAGTCACAAATCCCCGAAGAGCAGTCATAAAGCCACACACCAGTTTGAATCCCGATGACCAGTCACAAACTGCCGCGACTTTCTCTGTGAACGGTCACAGGATCCACGTCAAAATATTACGACTCAACTGTATGCATTCACGCGTTCAGCATACTTTTTTCCTTCACAGAGGTTTCAGAAGTGAGCAAGAAAGATTTCGATCAACTCTCGATCTCCGCGTAGTTTACTTGTAGCTCGAGTCTGGTGTGTGTGGGCTCCTCTCCAAAACGAAGGGTGGTCGAAAATCTTGCAGGCTTCAGATAGAATCTCTTTTGAGAGGACGTTCTGGCTAGTAGGTTGTGCTATTCATCATATTTGAAGAACAAACTTCGTCGTTCAGAAAAGCTATTTCGGAATATTTTCAGTCATGTAATTTTTGCATGCCGATCTTGCTAGAGCAGAGACTGACTTCAACTGATCCAGCATGCAAGCAGCACTCGATTTGTGTTTTTGGAGAGGATGGGTGACAAGATTACGGAGTCAGAAGTGGACATCGTCGACGATGCAGAGACGAAAATATAATGAAGATGGAAATGA